GCGGGCACGCTCCAGGACCATCTCGGGGTCACGAAGGGCTTGGGGGGAAGATTCTCGTCCCACCCAGACGAAATCCTTGACTGAGACGAGCGATTTGTCGAAGCCGCGCATATCCGACTGGACGTTAGTTGCATATTGATCGAGTGTGATGCAATGGAGTTCCTTGTGATCGGGGCCGGGGATGAAAAAATCTTTTGCTTCAAGGATGAGTGATTGCCCTCTTTCGTGGCCGCAACCTGATAGAGAACTGGACGACGTCCATGGATTGCTGGGCATCGTTGGGTGCTTGCCTAGCGGTGCTTGCGAGCGTCTATTTTCAACACGGGTGAAGATTCCAGACAGGAGTTTGTTTTTGATGACGTTAGCTTCCTGACGAAAGCGAATGGCAGCTTCCAGTGTTTGTAGTTCTATGAAGGGAAGGCGTTCCGTTCTTCCTACTCGGCGGACGTTGACGTATGGGAATACTGATTTGTGAATCGATATCTAAGATATCCGGATGTGGGGATGTGACGATAGTCATCAATTGGTAGCTCATTGGTGATGTCGTGATTACTGAGAGACGCAACGCGTAGTTCACGTGGACGGACGAACGGCGCCTAAGGGTGAAGGTTGATGAGTTTATGATAAAAATCGGGTGGAGTTTTCTTGGGGTCTGGGGTATGAGTCGAGGGATGGTGAGGCGTGTGGGTTCGGCATTCCAGACAGAATATCTTTCGTGGTCAGGCATTGGGCTAAGTTCCAGTTGGAGTAGAAAATGCCGAAGTGTAGCTTGTTTGAAAATGTAGAAAAGGCTTACAAAAAACGTAGGAAAACTTTCCAGACAGAATAGGCTAACGATGAAAGACAGAAAAAAAATTGTTAATCCGAGTGTGGAGCGAACACGTAGATTTCGCTACTATTGTTAGGCGATAACGAGGGAAATAGCTAAAGCTAGAAGACAAGTAAAAGCTAGAAGACGAGAGCTTTTGAGCAACAGGAGATGGATGATTAAGCAACTTTTGCGCCAACACACATGTCATTCAGAGAAATTAGAGCATGAGAAAGGATCAGAGTGTCGTTGTGCTTAAGGATATCAAAAAAGAAACCGTAAAAATCAAAGAGAACTTCCAAAAAGTGAAAAAACTCTGGCAATATGCGATAAAACTTTTATTTCGGGAAAGGACGCGATCAGCGTAAGAACATAGCGAAACGAAATTTGAAAGGAATTTTCTGTTTACTTAAGAAGAAAAAATGAGGCAAATAACTGTGACATTGTCAACATCGCGGAAAAGGAAAGAGAGCAGAAGACAACATTGTTATTGAGACGAAACAATAAAAAACAAAAAAAAAATGACTCACCGATATTGAAGCTGGCGGCCTGCGCAGGCGAGGCGAATGAAGATGGCCTGCGTTATCAAGCTTGCGATCAGGCCGGCTCATGCTAGAACTAGATCGATTGAAGGAAAAGCATGCATGCGGGGGACTTACTTGTTAAAAACGAACGCTTTACTCGAGTCGTAATCTCGCCGAGCTCTATATCAAACTGCTAAGGAAAAATAGAAAAAATGCGAACCAACACGTGGGCTATTGAACCAGAACCTCTGAAATACAAAAAAAATGTTCTATAACCCAGCTTCATTACTCTGCATGCTTTTCAACTGAACTCAATGTGAACGATACTGCCCCTCTTCACTGTACTTAGCCATGGCCCACCACAACGATACAAAAAAAGGTTCGCAGCTCGGCACTTCTGTCCCTGCAGGGGAATCCACTTTTCTCTTATACTCTTAGCCGGCTTACACAAAACTGGGGCTGCTGGGTTTCTCTCTCTCTTTCTTTGTTTATTGTAGACATACAGTTTTTTGCCGACAGAGCTCTACTATCTTTACTAACGTTAACTTTCGTTTGAAGAGTCCGGACTTTAATTTCGAGGAAAAAGAGAACCGTCGTTATGCATCAAAATGTCGTCCCTGATTTAGCTTAAGAGCCTGAGTTTTGATGGGACCTGGCCATGGTCACATCAAAACTCCAAATACTGGGGAAGAAACAAAAAAAATACTTGAAACGCAGTTTTCTTCTTCGGCTGTCAGCCACGATTATTTCCGGTGGGGAACCCAACAGGGTTGATACGGAAACTGAACCGGACCTACCTTGTTCACTTGGATCGAAACCATTCGGCTGGTACCAGTGAACGTAGCTCCGTGGAAGCGGCTTACTCAACGTAGAGATACGGTGGTATATCATCATTTATTATAACAACCAGCAATACTGCAACTTATAATAATTTATTAGCAAGAAAATATGAGGGGATCACAGAGGTCTAACGGAGTCGAATAGGCGAGGCAGGTGGTCCGGTATAGAGGCGGCATCAGCCGCTTGGTGGCTGGAAGGTCTCGTCGAATCTCTTCTCCTTCAGCTTGCTTCTCGTCGACCACGCCCTGAACGAATGAGTCATAATATCGCATTCTTGAACGATCTCCTATCTCCTACAGTTTCCGATCTCTTACACGTCCCTATATGTCTGCAGTTGCTGCGGCGACTGCAGTATGAAACAACTCCAAAAGGTGTAAATCGGCGCGCTAATCGAGCCCCGTTACTCCCTCGCGGGACGACCTCCTCGAACGAGATCTCTCACACGTTTTTACATGGCGAGCGCAGTTGAAATCATGCTGTTTGACCCTTAGGGCTCCTTGCGACAAGAATAAAGCACTTTTCACACTACAAAATAAAGGGGTTTTCTGAGAAATTCACTCATTTCAAATTCCTCATCTAAAATTAGCGCCTTAAAAAGGCCTAGATAAGACAAGAAAATGGATGCCGAGGTCTGCCCGGATCTGCCTTTGAAAGTGAAAACATGAAATTGAATACTAAAACTATATTTCCCAAATTACTACCAAAATAACATTTATAATTAAACAGCGTGAAAAACCTGCATGTTCTGTACCTTTCTGCAGACTTCATTGAACGAAAAATCTGGACATTTCCTGCGCAATGCGCCTCATAATAATTTTGCATATATAATCCAGCTAAGCTCTAGTTTTTAATTTTCTCTAGCAGTTTATAATAACACTTACCTCAACAGCTTGGACTCTGATACTCCCAATGTTTGCTCCCTATTTAGACAGATATCTTTATCATTTTCTTTATTTTACTTCGGATATGCGGCTTTCAGAAGTGAATTACTCCCGAAAGCCATGCGATACTTTCGCCTGTAATATTTAGACTTTGATATTTATAAACAACGCATGAGAAATTTCTTTGCCTATTAATACAAATAAACCAGTTGAATTCATTATCTCACTTGGATTGCCTGAAATTGTATATACCGGCAGACCTAGCCACGAAACGCTAACGACTTAAGGCGAGGTATCCAAGTCATATATTGTTAGTTTTATTTTTTTTATCAAGCATACTAATCGATTTCTTACTTTAAAATTGTTTACGTTCTTATATTGAGCAATCGTAAGGTTTCTTTTTCAATATCCTCCAATCCCGTATACGTACCCACTCTAGGAGTACATTTTTGTTTATTGAGTCCTGGTGAGCCTCTTTTTTTTCCAGCAATATCAATAAATCTTGAACTGTATGTACTAATAGATGCTCTTCTTGATTAGTTCTAAGATATGCATGGGACACGGATTTAGATTATACCACACATAATTCAGTCATTCACATAGTTGCATGAAGGAAATGGAATGGGATATTTTTGAGCTTTGTTATTTTTATCATAACTTCCTTATTGTCATATCGGATGCCTAACCTCTCTGGATTCATAACACTTCATCTTTTTCAAGTGGTCCCAAGTTCGACTTATTTTTTTTGCTATGCCTGTTTATCATGAAATACAGATGAACAAGTTTGCTTTACTGAGGATGAGGCAGAGCATTTAGAAGATAAAACCCGTACGTATACTACGATGCACAATGATGATGCAAAAAAATGACAAAATAAATAACATTAAGTGGTACTAATAGAATTATAGCACATTCGTCTCAAATCATGAAGTTTTAGATCATTCTGAAAGCGGCTCGTGAGTATGAACGAACATTGCCCGATGAAGAACGTATAAGAACGGCCTCAGTGATTCGACCTCCTTCTACACCAATAGAAAACAAGAATGAAATGCTTGAATCAGCAGATCTATCACTACTGTACGGGAAGGCTCTCAAGCATCTTCAAATGCAGTCATACAGGCGAGTGCGTTATCTGTTGGCTCGCAGGAGGGGGGGGGGGGGTGGGGGAGTATTTCTCAGACTAGGTTTTGTTGTGAAGACATTGTTACTTATTCGGAAGAGGAGCCATTTAGGAACAGTGTGAAAAAGTACCGCGTTCTGCCTAGCTCTTCGCGGGCTGCTATTTGATATATCTTGTCTCAATGTCAGTATCGCCTCCTACTGAGGAATTAAAGGCAGTGGGTCGGCAGAATGAGACCCGTGGCAAAACAAGGTCACGGGGTAGGAACCCCATAATGGAACCTATGGGCCAAAGTTCGATCTTTCTCTGCCACTTCTAACCCCTGAAATTTCAAAGCGAAAGCAGCGCTCATCTCCTGTCCTCTCCGAACCCGCCCACCCCATGGACGAGTGACTTCCGCGGTCAGAGCGCCAGCCGCAATGCTATAAGCATGAGGTCTCGCAACGACTCTGCGTCTTCGCCATGACGGGCTTCGCGTTCACTCGTCCATGGGGTGGGCGGGTTCGGAGAGGACAGGAGATGAGCGCTGCTTTCGCTTTGAAATTTCGGGGTCAGAAGTGGCAAAGAAAGATCGAACTTTGGCCCATAGCTTCTATTATGGGGGCCCCTACCCTGTCACCTTGTTTTGCCACGGGTCTCATTCTGCCGATACTGCCTTTAAATGCTGGCGGGCTTGGGTGAACGCACAGGGATACGTCTGCAGACGCCGCGCTGTGTGCAAGTGAGGCGGCCATGCGGGAGCCGAGTCGCACAAGTCTGTGATACCGTCGTTGAGACAAGGGAGGGGTATGGTCAGCTCACACAAATGGATTATTTCTAGGTTCATAGGAGATTATGGCAAGCTAGTCACCCCTTATACATTCAAAAAGGACATTCGCAACACCAACCCTTTTTCGCCATCTCTACGCGAAAGAACGAAGAGAATAGCGAAAGAACTTGCCTCAATGCCGAACGCTCTGCCGCTCAATGCAAGCAATAGTATTTTTGTATGTGTCGACGAAGGACGATGTGATATAATCAAGGTAAAATCATGGAAAATTCGATTTGGAAGATCATAGTGGCATTATATTACCATCAGGTTCTCATTTCCGGCCCCGATGACACTCCTTATGCAAATGGACTTTTTGAGTTTGATGTATTCTTCCCGACAAGGTAAACAGCTTCGAGTAAAATATCATCTTAGGCAATTTGATTGCAGTTACCCGTATTCGCCTCCTAAATGCGCTTTTTTGACAACTGGAGCAGGAAATGTTCGATTTAACCCGAATCTCTATAATGACGGCAAGATCTGCCTTTCAATCCTGGGAACTTGGGAAGGACGTCCTGAGGAAAAGTGGAGTTCTTATTGTTCATTAATGCAAGTGCTTGTCAGTATACAGGTAATACGATAACAACACAATTATCCCTATTGACTGTCGTTTGTTGCTTAGGGGCTTATTTTCGTCAAGCATCCATACTTCAATGAACCAGGCTTTGAGAAGTATCAAGGGACGGAAAAAGGAGATGACTACTCCAGAAAGTACAATCTACAGATCGAACATGCCACGCTTAATTATGCCATACGAGATCAACTGAAAAATCCTTCGGAGTACTTCAAAGTTAGGCAGTTCTTCGTTCTTCCAGTGCCATTTTTACTTACTAACTATTTAGAAAGTAATCTTACGCCACTTCTGGCTAAAGCGTCACGCAATCATAAAACAAGCAAAGAACTGGATAGTTGAGATGAGGAAGGACGTAGCAGAGGCGGAGCGAAATCCGAAAAGAAGGGAAAGCCTCACATTTGAGAGCCTTTACAATCCCTATCATCAGGTAAGGATCAGAGTTGCACTTTTGTTGTTGAGCAAACAGTTTTCAGGAACGATCCATACAACAGCTTATAAGTGAGCTTTCCTCTATGCCCTGCCCTGTAGATCAGTGACAGTGTGCTCAACAACAAGGTAATCAAATTATGCGACAGGAATAATGTGCCCGGAGTAGCATGTTGGACAAACCCCTTTTCAAGTTTATGAGTTGCAAATCCACTGTTACCGAAAGTAACATCTTTTCGGCCTCCCTGTTGACTTTTGAGAACAGTGATATATAAAAACTAATCTGCTTTGAGTAAATAGCTGAATAAAGAGCATCTTTAGAAAAGGAGATGTTTTATGACTTTTTTCCCCTTTTGGATAGGTGCGAGAAACTAAAACAGCACTTCAAAAGCTCAAAGAAAGTTTAGAGCTAATCGTACGTAACCTTGCTTTGAAAGAAAAAGAAATGGAGTCGTTTCTGGAATTTGCATATGAGCGCTGTAGGCATAGTATGCGGCGGTCAATTTGCAGTTTTAACAAAATTCTAGCACAAAAGTTCTGCCGCGTCTCTTTCAAAAGTTCATAGATTTCTTGCAACTTCAAAGAATCTGTACGGCTTTGTTCAATTATAAGCGGAGATCTGATCATCATCAGATCAACAATTTCATGCACTACCTCATAAACACTGAACGACTTTGTTTCTCGTAAACTTTGCTGAGATAGGAACAGTAGGAAAAAATTACGCTAATGTCATCATTTTTGTAGCTCGTCAAATTTGAAGCTAAATTCGCAGCAGTCGGTAGTATAAGTTCTATGGCCTCCTCTTTTGAGCAGGCGAAGTTTGTGCTAAGTGAACGTCTCTATGATATGACTAGTTGGCAAACCCGGCTCCGCCCGGGCCTGTCAATGATATATTTGAAATCAACATACTTGATTACCCCCCTGTGCCAACTCCCAGCCCTGTAGCCAAATTCTGCAAAGAATCGATAAAATCGATATCGATCTATAACGAAAAGTAGCCTATGGCACGCTCCCTGCACCGAAGTATATGTGTGCCAAGTTTGGTCCCGATCGGTTCAGAAATAAGAATTTCTATTCCGCACATACGTACAGACATACATACACACAGACAGACACACATTCAGCTTTATATATAAGATTTTGAGCAAGTACACAAAAACTATGTATTTTGTTTTATGTCATTCTACTTTGACGTCATAACATTCTGAAAAAGCGTTCAATCAGTAAATTGTACGGGGCATTTATGAAGAAATCTTTTTCAGAAAGAAATATCTCCATGCAAACGCCTGCATATTCGTCTCGAGTGGAATCGGTGCACGCACTGACGAACTAACGCTTTTGGTTGGGGATTTTACAATCCTCTCATCTGTTTCTTCCTTGATTCTCTGAAAAATATTACAACGAATACCCTCTGTACTACCCTCATTAATGTACGATATCCCTATTGAGTTGGTTTGAAACGATCCAAGTTCAGTAATCGTCTAAATTGGTATAAGCCGAGGTTTTTCGCGTAGGTACTGCATTACAATCAAAAATTGGATATTCTGCGCATGATGTCTTTGTTGGGTTTGTGAGCCTTAGTTTGACAGAACTGTTGAAGTTTACAGCTGAATCACTGCTCTAGCAACGTCATCCAAAATCATCTGATATCAGGACAAGATTTTCAAATTAGAGATTTCAGTTCAAAAACCGCCTTCACTGCCACGGGATAATGGGTTTCATAGACACTGTTTTTCTATAACAATGAGAGTGTCCACAGTGAGTTCGCCATTCTGATTTTGTACGGTTCTATTATCCTTGCGGGTGAAAGTTCTGCTGATAAGAATGTTTTGTATGCTGATCTCACGCCATGCAATAGTGTAACCGTAATATATCAAAAGCTTCACTCATTTGTCTTTCAACAATAAACGGTGAATTTTTAGGTAACTCTGTATGACCATATTTTTGAGTATACTTTACATTATGTGTATTGGAATCATTTGTGCCTCCTTTTGAAGTGTTTCCCTTCCTTAATGACTCGTGTACATGTTAGAAATTTCATTCTGCGTGTTATTAATTTTCACATAACATGTTGTAGAAGTTTCGTAAAGAAGCTTCGCAGGTTTTCTGGTTATGTTTGTATGATTACGGTGAAGCGATTGTAGACAGAAAAATCATGTTCCAAGCTCACACAATGAGTACACTCACTAAACAGACAGTTATTCTAGTATAGCAGACATTTCCCTATATAATCATTTTTGTTCTTCCTCACTGAATTCGTGCCTGTGAATGGGCAACTCCGGCTTCAAAGCCTTTGCATTTGTATAGGATTCCAAAGAAAGAGGAATTATGTTAGCCCTTTTGTCTTTCCTGACAATACTCTTCACTAGTGGCAGATTTGGTGTCAGTAAAACGAAATAATTTCATTTATGCCCTTCCTTCATTAAGATGCTGATGTGAGAGAATAAAAGACAATACTCTTTTCTGTTCCCTTGACATCATTCCCTGTCCACTGAAAATTTTTGTTGCATCAAGCAGGCCGTCGAGCCAGGCCATTTCGGCCAAACCAGATCTAACAAAAGGCGTTTTTTGTCGCTTTCCAAGTTCTACATCTGGAAGAGCACAGGATGCCAAATTTGTCTTCGCCATCTGTTCTACGCTTCTGGGGCCGTGTTATGAGCACTTTCTGGAGCGAAAACGAACACAAAATCGAAGCGATATCAATTGCCATTGTTCTTTCAGCGCTCAAATATGGCATTATTGAATACGGGTATACCAGAAAGTATTCGTTATATAGAGCGCCCTAATATCCAACACTGGTCCAATTGAGCAATTCTTCTTGATTTTGTTCGATTAGAGCCCTCAATTTTTGGGCCCAAGAACCGCTCATCTCAGCGTCCAAAATCGCATAGCGAATAACTAAAGCAGATTTCGAATCAGCGTTCATTACTTTTCAAATTGATATGGACTTCTCCCAAAAAGGGCATTTTGATAAAAAAACAATTTTTTTATGATTATTTCCAGGAATAGACCCATGAAGGGGATTCGCAATCACAGTAGACGAATGCGAACACGATCCAAATGATAGAAAACAGAAAGATTCACCGCTAGATCACACAACCACCACTTGACGCGAAAAACGCCACGTTTCCGCTCCGGAAACAGGCCATAACTTGTGATCCACTCTTGGCAGATATCGAGTGTATATTGAAGGAAAGTCCTCCAAGCTCTCGGTTCTGATGCATTAGCGCTCAATGTCAAAAAAGTCACCGAACTCCAACATAATTTACCAAAATTCCGTCGAATCGCCAGATCTTGGTTAAGAGTAGACGAATAAGGCAAAGTTCGACTCAGCTTGGCGGGACGCTCTTTTAGTATATGGGAGTTCCCATTTGAATAAGGTGGGCACTTAGTTTTCACGAATCTTATTAGAATTTTGCCTACGGTTGATTATTGGGAAACGGCCACGAGGCACGATTTCTCCAAAGATCGTGATCTTAACAGCCCAATGTAGAGCTATGCGAGTCCTTTAAGATACCAGAAAGTGCTCTAGCTTGCTAAGTGACTGAAGCTAACACTTGCTAAGTTTGAAGGCTTTTGATGAAAACTCGTTTGAACTATTCACGAAAACGCCATTAGTTGCATTTTCATGGGTTTTAACCGTCAACATTTATGTTTAGATTTATTTCAAAATGGGAAGATCGAGGAATCCACGATCACAAATCTTGTTAGAAATTTGAATTGCTCAAATTTCATTAAATACTAAAAATGCGCTAATTGGTGTTTATTTGCAATAAAAATCGCGTCTCTTGACGTACACTCAATATGCCATGAATGAGCACACTGTGTTCAGGGCCCGGCGGGGGTGGGGCTTTCATAAGCTGGATATCGTTTTTGGCCCGAAAAAGCAAAGGGGAAGTCGTATTTTGGGGTCCGGAGCGGAGCCCCGGACCCCAAAATACGACTTCCCCTTTGTTTACCGATAAACAATGCACATATCATTCTTTATTCATCATTGCTTGTTGATGCTACTGTCCTATGAACTGAGATTCCAGCAATGTGAAGATTCTGTGCTCCGATCGCTAGCCTGCCCGCAGGCGGGAATTCAAATCGCAATTATTGTAAGGGAAAATAACAAAATAGGCTCGTTTTCAATGCACAAGTAACGATATGGCACCAAATTTGCTGTGTAGTTGGAGGACAATGAGCGCAAAAAAAGTATGAAGAATTATGAGAAACTTATGTGAATTTAAAAAATGGTAAGTGTTTTTCGAAATTAGGTGGCTCCCGCGCCACCTGGGAGCCACCTAGGGTGGCTCCCTGCTTCCCTTCACATAATTTCCCGGATTTCTTTACATAAATATGGACTAGGTCGAGAGTATTACTATATGTTCAAATCCGCTTCCAGAACCACCAAGGCACCGCTTCGATAGAGCCCCGAAATAGGGTTCACTGCGTTATGATCGGCCTCGAAAAGCGCGCTCCAATCGCAATCGGTTATTGTAAATTGTAAAGTTTCGCAGCTGACTAATAAATGAGTAGTATCTTAGATATATAAACGTCATAGTTTGTGCAAATCTTGACCCTATGTTCTTTTATAGATTCCTTTGCGGATGAACCCATTGAGCTGAAACCTTGATGAGGGCTGGACCAGGAAAGCCAGATAGTACTACTATAATAAGTGCTGAGGCCGCCCATTTTATTATTTGTGTATATCTGTTTGTCAGGGACTTACGGGGGTTAAAAATAGGGTCAAAGGGGAAGTCGTAAGAAATTTTGGCTTCAAAGGGGATATCGTTTTCAAAATTCTGAAATGCCACCTCCTGCCGGGCCCTGACTGTGTTACCTTCTGTAAGAAAATAATGTGAAATGACCGCCTACCGTATCCAAAATGGCATCGATTAATAGAAGGTGCGCCCTGTCTAGCCGAGTTGAACAGTGCCTTGGATTTCGAATTCGTCCACTTTAAACAGATAAGGTGATGTGACGGGATTTCGGTGAACTGCGTTGGAGTTCGATAACTTTGATGAATCAGGAGCGATACTGTATATCACATCTCATTCACCATTTTGACTTAACCTTGTCATGTAAAAAAAAATCAGCCTCCAGTACCCTTACTATATCTCGAGCTAAAGTGTATTGCGCGCCCTCATAGTTCCAGCTGGTTATCGGGAAGCGGCAAATTGTAGATCTACGTGATAAGAGATATAGTCGTAGTGGTGCTCATAATTAAGGAATTGAATCTTATGCAAAACCGCTCGATAAAACGTGGATGCTTTTCCATTAGGCTGAGAACTCTTGTGTGAAAAGCCGTTGTAGAAAATGGACTCATTTCCACGTAAATGTGTGATCTTTGAATTATCTTATATATAAAGCTGAATGTCTGTATGTCTGTCTGTCTGTACGTATGTGCGGAATAGAAATTTTTATTTCTGAACCGATTTGGACCAAACTTGGCACACATATACTTCGGGGCAGGGAGCGTGTCATAGGCTACTTTTCGTCATCGATCGATATCGATTTTATCGATTTTTTGCAAAATTTGAGCTACGCGGCTGGGAGTTGGCACAGGGGGATAATCGAACATGCTGATTACAAATATGTTATCGACAGGGCCGGGCGGAGCCGGGTTTGCCAACTAGTCAGATATAATGAACGATGCATCCGGAGTCTGAGAAGATTAGGCGAAGCCTGGGTGCTATTTCCATATGGTATTACAAGTCCAGCCTTTATCTTCTGCAATTCACATGCCCATAGCATAATTTTCACTTATGGAACTTCGTTCTATATCTTACAGGTCATATCACAAAACCTTTTTGAGAGCAACTATGTGTGATTGAAGAAAATATCAACTCTTCAAGGGAAATGATGCGCGCCTCAAATAAACCGTCTTCAGCGCTTATCACAATACCATCGCACATTTTTGCTCCATATGTACCAAATTCAAAAAAGATATTTGTTTTCGAGTTCTTCATCCAAAGTAGCGCACACCGCCGTTCGTGCAACTTCTATCATGATTCTTATTCACTTGAAGCTGTTGGTTAAGACGAAAATACAAAGGGTTTCTTATGTAGGGCGCACTGCGTAGGATTTCGAGAACTGCGTAACGAGGTCGCCCTGATAGTTTCTCGTAAGTTCATCACGCTCTGCCCTATTGAATGAATTTCCAGCCATTCCTTGCTTATGAGCTGTTGTTTTCGCTCAAGATGGTAACTCTAGGTGCGAAATAAAACACATTCATTTGTACTTGGTCAAGAGGTTCCTCATCTGTAGTTTCGATTGTTTGTAGGATTGTAGGTAGTAGTATAGTTTGTATAGGTGATGTTTCTCTGAAAAACTGAAATACGCATAATTTGTGATGAAAAAACGCGATAGTCTATATGCGGTTATCTCTTTTTAGTGTCCTATGAAGGTGCGATAGGAAATGTCGCCACCCCCTCCACGATCTACTGACCGGGATTCAATCTTGATCACGTTCCGAGCTCCGCTTTTTCGCTTTCGTCGTGAAACATACTTCTTCATGTTGAAGTGTTACTGCGACAGAATCGCACAGAAACTTGATTTTTACCAAAATTCCACATTCCCGGTCTCTTCTATGGTAACATACTTTTCTTTGAGAGACCAATTCAAAATAGCCTTTGTTGAAAGACCATGACCAAGATAGGCTTGTTGCGCACAAATGATCGTAGTTTCCTTCGTAAAAGCTTCCCTTTTGTGTTCACTCATACCGAAAAACTAATTCATAATTGCCGAACCCAATTTTCGTCAGTTGAACTTGAAAAAAAATTCTGAGGCTTCTTTCAGTCGCAATAAACTTGCACTAATCATTCAGAGTATTTCGTTCCGTCAATGTAACAAAATTTTCATCCTTGAAAGCAGTTAATAATATTTTTTCCAGTTCTTAATATTTTTGCAGTCCTCAGAAACGTTATAAGATATTTAAATCGCAGTAAAGCGCTAGTGACTAGTGACTAGCACTCGAGCATTAGCTTTCCTCAATGAAAGAAAAAACATCCAAAATTGCGAAAAACAACTGCGATTTTGCAAAGTGTGAAGAAAAACCTGTTTGATTTATTTAGCAAAACCAATCCGTGTCAGCGTATTGTTTCATAAGACGCTTTTTGAGATAAGCTTGTGATAGGAATATGCTTGTAAAGTACATGCAGACATTCTTCGAATTGTTCCTTGTAAACTCTGTTTGTGTTCCAAAATTCTTTCAGATGTGGTGGATAATCACACTTTTGCAACTTGCAGCTGCTCGGAACGTGTTTGTCTCCTCACCCTTCGATAACTTCAGGATTGAATGTCCCAAAAGAGTAGGTGAAAAGAAGTCTTGCTCTAATCTCAAAGTTTTGACGGTTTCAGACCGCTGCCGTAGAGCTTTCAGTCAGGATGGTAGAGTCAGTAGGCGCAAAACGACAAGACATCGTATTTGACATGAGCTGCGAAAAGGTCGACGAGGTAGAAGACAGCTATCGCTGGGAACTTCATTCTTACTTTTCTTTGCAGCTTTTTCCCTGGGTAAACATACCCATTGGTATTTCCGAGCTTGAGCGAGAGGATTGCTACTATTCAAGTATGTTCGACCCGATCACAGATGAAGACACGGATTACAGTTGTCGCCATCGTGAGTACATGGCGGGTATCACTCGACTCACAGACACAAGGTCTGCTAGAAACTCATGAAAATGCTCGAAAAAAGTAAAAATTCGCGTAGGGTACAAATTATGTGCTGCCGTCTGCGCTCCCGCGACGAGACAAACTGTAGTGAGACTGTATTCAACAAGCCGTTCGGTCTCAGCAAAATAACAATTATTGAGTAAGTTTTCATCCTTGGTTTCTTCCAAGTTCTTTGAGTTTTGCTGGCTCGCTTATTTTTGATATGTTAGGGATATCCTTATGTTTACCAAATCCTCTTTTCCTTTGCGAACTTCTTTGGAAAAATAGTATTTTTGATAGAACCGCTTCAATACTTATAAGAGGGCACTGGAGTTTTCCCATTAAGCAGTCATTTTTGTTAAATTTTTCATTTCATCCTTCACTTATCACGTATCTGCTATTTCGGCAAAACAATTTGCAAGAAAGTTTGGTCTGATCAACATATTTTAGCCATCGGTTTAAAGTTTCACTACCCTTTGCTATAATTCAGAATTATTTCCAAATTACAGATCTCCAGACTGAGCCTCTTTGTGAAACTCTTATTATAAGATGGATGTTTCACAGAGAGTTTATCACTTCTTGCCTGTTTCCAGCCGCGATTGGAAAGGATATAACATGATCGATTGCGGATCGCTTAGCTTTGCAGTAAATGCAATGTGGCCGAGTTTCTTACTTGAGACTGGTTCCGATCAACTTTCGCTTGCGTCCTCGATGCCAGCTAATTTTATTTGAATGATAAGCGGTTGCAAATGGAGAAACCATACAAGACAAGCATGTTCAGTCGAAGTGGCATTACCGAATGGGTTACTATGTTGAAGAGCATAGAACGCCTAATCCAAACCTGCCTTCCTTATCTGCGGAATGTTTGTGGAAGAGGAGTTATGAGCGTATACTGTGGCAAAAAATTAAAAGTGCAGTTAGAATAAAGTTCGCTAAAATCTTACTAGCCCTCAGACATAAACCAAAGACGATATATCTTTCATCTTACTTATTGGATAAAGCGCTACGATAATCAACATTGCTCCATCAAAGCTTCAGAAAATCACGATTATCTTGGTCCCACCTGCACATTCAATTTTTTGCTGCAATGAACCCTCCCAACTCCTCGCACAGTTCCGTAATTTGAGAAGGCAGATTCGAACACGCGTTTTATGCCGTCCAATTTGTTGCACATTCCATCTGAAAAGGCCAGTTCGTAACATGCTTCCCTAGTAAGACTGCTGCTGTGTGACTGCTACTGCATCCATTGGTAACAAATAATACAATCTTCTTCAGAAGCTGCGGCCATATAACGCAACGAAAGTTTTTTTTTTCAGATACGATAATCAGCTTATTAATGCAGTTCGCCTGGAAGGTGATCGGTATGTCGTCCGTTTCTGTGATCTTGCACCAAGAGATATCGGTAAATCACTGACTTAGTTTGGATTAATCTTTGCCGTAAGCTACAATACAGGTAGCATATATGATGATGTGAAAGTGACTACAACTCATCATCCCATCACCCATACCACCACTCCAAAACCTTACAGGTGAGTAAGTGACGATGCAGTCAAAAGGACATTGTGAAGAAGACGAATCGTTTTTCGTAATGAGCACGACAGATTTAGGAAAGTGGAGAAATATGACCACAAATTCTCCACTTCATCTTCGAACAGCATCTCGCCGTCAGCTGCGTCAACTTCATGGAATCAGCCTCCAGCACCACCTACTACCGTAGCTTCTGCCGGATCGGTAGCCTCTTCCATGATGTCCATCACCCAGACTGATCTCTACAGACCTATCAGCGCAAGCGCATCGGTGGATAGTGGAAAGGTAGGTGGACGTAGGTGACCAAATTCGACAACGTATCGAAAATTCAGGATTCGGTTGGAATGACTCTAAACACCTTCAATAACGCCGGTGATATATCGGCTCCGTCACCTCAGCTGAGAGGCAGAGCCCTTGGGGGACCTAATCTTGGAGATCGGGCACCTCTTGATATACCGACTGATGAAATTGAAAATCTGGAGCCTTTGCACCCAAGCCAGTTTGATAGTAAGTTCCTTTGAACAACATGCGAAAGTTCAATCTCTGTTGGCCAGGAATCAAGCAAGAGGAGCTTTTGCAGAAGCTTCCTGTTTGTTTTTTAAGGCATATCGCTAGTAGAAGGTGTGAAGATCAACTAAAGCTCTGTTACAGATGAGCAAATGAGCGTAGACCTTCTTCCACTCCAAGGACCACCAATCAGTACACGAATGAGCCCACAAAAGCCGTCTAGCAGGTATGGGGTGAAACTTATCTGAATCGAGATCGGTTAAACATTTAGAAATGCTCAAACTTCGTTGTCTGACCCAACAAGCAATTGGCAGAAACCTAAGACGGTTTTGAATGACGAAAAATTGATGCAGCTGAAAAGTAGCATTGAGGAAAAAGAAGAAATTGACTTGCTGAAGGATCCTGAAAGTGAGTTCTCGAGCTGTGAGAACAGGAGGGAAAAGTGATATTTACAGCTGAAGAGAGCTCCACCACTAATTCGCCAACGTCCACAGCATCATCGATATCAACCGAGGTCACCGAAACTGCGAAAATTGACGTGATAGTGGCGGAACGAAATGAAACTAGCGAAACAATAGTCACGACAACCCCTGTATCTAAAACAATCGATGAAAATTCAATGGAAGACATGACCATGGGTAAGAAGTTGAATGCAGACAATCTGAAGAGTCATGTGCATTTATTGCAGTTAGCGATCTCTCTCGTCTGACATTCCCCAATGAAGTTTTTCCAAAGTCTAGCGAAAAGAAGTTGGCTCCATCGACCCGACTGAAGATCTCCAAGATGGAACTGGTCAGTGTCCGTTACTGGGACTTTCGACGGAAGATTCAATTCTTGCATTTTAGCCTTTGAAAGCTGGCGTATCCGCAGACGACTTTCTCTTCCTGCGTCCAGTGAATTCAGAAGGACATCGCCGTTCACCTCTTCGAACTTACCGCCCTCATGTTGTGAGCGTACAACTATTGGATGAGTAGGCTCATCAGAGTTTGAAGATTTGGCTTGCATAGAGATTGCTCAACGGCTTTAGCCTAGCCCGCAGTTTGACTAGCAAAACTGCCTCGGGAGTTCCCAGTTTCTGTTATCTGGTGCATGATTTGGTGCAAGTTTCCTATGTCACATCTCCAGAATCTATTGTTGTTGTTCTCACTACACCGGTATTGTTGTCGTGTCATTGGACATGACACTAGAATTCTAATAAAAATAACAGTCTAGCAATTTGCAACACATCTCTATGCATGATAGTTGAGCTTTTCCACATGTTTGAAGGTTGTACCAGTTCCGGCAGCAAGTTCCCTTAACAAAGATTGCTGACTGCTAAGTGAAAGGACTGCTCTAATATCTGCTTCATAGGAGGATTAATGGGAAACTAGTCAAAGAGAGGGAACGTTTATACACGTCACAAAAAGGGGCAGTTATTTGTGCTGAATGAGGGAGTGTGAGAAGGAATCCAAAAAGCCTTTTCTACAAACAACTCTACTATATCTTCAAACACCCTAAAAATTTTCTGTTTAGGATGTCGGGTCCTCAGAGGAAGATGATGGGATGAACGAAACTATCAATTCTTGGGAAACCACAACCATAGAAAGCCCTAGGCCTAGAAAAGTGGGTCTCTTTTCTTTTCCAATGATTTAGTGAATTTGTAGAAGCGATGTCCATTTCACTGCAGTCAGAAATTCTTTGCACTGAACAAAACACCTCATTAGCATGCTTTGTTTTAGATACTTATGTAGCAACAAAAGATAGCACTTATACAAGACGTTGATTGAATTGACTAAATGAAGAAAAAGTAAATTTCCGAGAAAAGCGAGCCAGCTATTTATTTATGAACATGCGAAGTGCAGTACGCTGTGGCTTTCTGATATTCTATGGACATTGAGCGGCTTTTTCAAGCATAACACCTTTTGCATAAAAGCACATTGAAAATGAGCGGGAGGCACCATTAGTTCAATCTGCTTTATATCTATGAATATATAAAGCTTATCCCATATGAACCTTACATGCTCGCAGCATGGGTTGGAACAAATTATTTTTTCTACGCTTGTCCAACCAGCTTGTTAGAATAGAGCAACAACTACAAAAGTATTGGTCATCCATAAAATCGTGACGATGAGTTTGACATGAGCAAAAAACACTCTTACATAAAGGCACCACCTAAACGCTCAGCTCAGTTACTTCCAGCGTCCAAATATTATCATACGTAAGCAGAAAAAATCATTTGACAGAGATGAAAACCAAAAAGATGCGGTTGCCGGAAAGTGCGCGTCGCGTGCGGTCGCGGCATCGTCACGATTCGAATGCCCTGTACACAATTACACCGCAACACAACTGACACGATGCTTCCTATGATGGCATCTTGTAGAGTCCATATCAAATGGATGTGCTTGAGTAAGATCTCAGTTCCCATCACCAGACACAAGAAGTTCTTATCCGTGTGCATCGCACAGTTTTTTGAACGAATCCACAGAGTCCATGTCTCTTTTTGCCACGATAGCAATCACTGCCTCTCAACAGAGAGTCTCAAAGTCTAGGGCTCCATATTCAGCAGTTAAAGGCAGCGTCCCGGCAAGTCTGGGCCTGTGGGGATCTCACTTGAAGGGTAATCTTGGAGCCCTAACTAAAAACTGCCCAAGCGACACCTCAAATGGTAAGCTCACAATTGAGGTATTCGTCTTCAAACTGGACCCGTGATCGTATTCGCATGGATTCATGGCGCGACACATCAGTTTCGCGCGAGGACCACGCGTGTCGCGCCATGAATCCATGCGAATAAGATCCCGGGGTCCGGTTTGGAGCGAACACCTCAACTGTGAGTTCACCATTTGAGCTGCCGCTTGGGCAGTGTCTTAGTTAGGGCCCAAAATTACCTTCCACATCAGAACCCCGTATGTTTTGTCTGGACGCTGTCTTCAATGCGTAAGGTCACCTACCCAGCAAACTTTCAAAAAACGGTGAAAATGAAAACCATAGAAATCGAGACACGAGGAAGAACAAGAAGGTGTAGGGCCACTTAGCAGGCTATTGTATGCGATTCATGCAATTATGCTTTATCTTGATTTTACTTAGCGTTTAGAGTTACCCATGTCAGCGTTACTCCAGCCTGTTTGTGCTGGCGTCGTGCCTCAACGTCGACCGATCGCTACGGGCGCGTGCACTTGGATCAGACATGTTGCTATTACGAAGCTGGCACGGCGCTAGAACGGCGCACACGGGTAGCTCTGCACCTACTGTCTGACACTATTCAAACAACGTGCTAAGGCAAAAGATAAAAGTTATTTTTCAGCCAAATTTCATCAAATTCTGGGAATTTATGCGTAAAATTTTTTGGAGAATTTGTGTAAAACTGCAAGTTTACGTAAATGTAGACAGGCAACTACTTTACGATTTCGAGCGTCCCAGGTGAGTTCAAGTGATAGGTTTTGAGCGTAGATAAATCCAAACAGATGAAAGTGGTCCTTTCTCGACCCCTTCATCTCTTTCTCTTTAGCAAGCATAACTCCATAATTTTGCTTATATCTAAGATCAGCGGTCATAAACAATGGACGTTTTCATTCGTGCGATACATAAGGGAGAAAAATGTCACTGTCGTTTTCCTTCGCGAATATGCGGCTGAAATGAAAAGGAGACTAGAAACAATCTCTAATCAAAAACAGGTCAAGGTCGTGTCTTGCCGCATGCTTTGTGCAAGCGCACTAACTTATAGTTTTTGCTCTGTATTTTTGTCATTTCGTACGATGACTCTTATGATTCTACATATTGGGTCTGTTAATAAAATCCTATCTGGCAGTGCAAAACGAATCCATATTGCTTTTTCTTCGTTGATCAAAGGTGATCGGCAATTTCATTCTTACCTGGGATTATCCGTACGGTGAACCCAAAACTTCACCACAAGCGCGAAATTGACGAAAGCGTGCACTTTCATCATCCTTCATTTTAACACGCGTTGACGACCAAGCCTTTTTGAAGCACATCAAAACGGACTGATATTTAGATCTGCGGTCCGGACTCCTGAGCAGCTACCGTGATGTTCTCTGTTCTTTATGACAATCAAACCACGAGCATTATTAATACATAGAAGTTATCCTGAAAGTTTTCGTTTACACATGAAAAACTGATGCACGAAAGTGCTAAAAGGGAGTCAGGGCGTGCATACGCGCGTACGGTCTGCCCCAATCGGGATCAGGCCGAACCGTCGATTGAGTTTGCGCGCTCGCAGCGCCAGGAGTTTACGCTGCATACGCGCGCTGTCGCAGAGAGCGAAGATGAGGAGAGAGCAGATTAGGTGGCTGCAGACGTGACGCAATACCCACGCGACGCGAACTCACGCCATGCCAATTTTGGCCTGGTTTTGGGGTAGACTGTACGCATAGGGTCGTCGACGCGTCATACATGGACGAAAGGGCGTAAAAAAGCCTGCCAAAGTACATGCGCAGGTCCTTGTGTTACGCTTATGATCAAAAATGTGGCGGTAAAAAGAAATGCGAATCCGACGCTTGTGCAAGCCTAGGGGCACTTTTTAGGCGTAGAAGCCATGCTGTAGCGTACTTCGTCTGGTGCTTGGGCGGTGGGTGGAGAGAGGCGGGAGGGGAAGGCAAGCAATTTTTTTTCACTTTCTTCGAATACTGCTTCTTCCTTGCTGTTCTCTGGATAGGCTAATTCTGCTCAAGCAGACTCCACTTCCTCTCTTTCATTTGCAAGAATAGGGATGCCTTTGGCACCTCCCCCTTCCGGCCTGTCGCTGATTGCAAGATACCTTAGGAAATGACTTGATTTTCGGCATGAAAGTGGAATTCGCCACAAAAAGGTAAGAGCCGCAAAAATATTAGATGGATATTGAGTGATATAAAGTGCTACAAATATGTAAAAATGACATATTTCCAACCCATTTTTTTCTAAACCTTGCTAAACTCTCTCAAAGCTGTTCTTGTTTCGTTTACTTTCCGTTCTGAGACCTTACTGATCCCAGTGGGGTACAGTTCCTTGCAGTTGGTTTATTGGTGTTTGAGAATTCAAGTGTTGAAACTCAGACGTTGCTTAAATATCTTTTGTAGTTGTTAACTCCCTCCAAATTAGAAGATTCGGAATGTCTGAAATTTCACGTAGTTGATATAAACATAGTCCTCGTAGCATTCCTAGCTCATGCCAAATTCTGTCCAAACTCGGCTATGGCGAACGTGTGAAATTACACATGCTGCGGATAGCATGTGCACCTGTGGCTGTAATTGACCCCCCTAAACTTTTTTTGGATTGTGAAATATTTGCAAGAATAGTGCATGCTTATGCTTGAATTATGTAAGGGTCAAAAGCTGTTATCAAGAGGAAATACTTGATAGTGGTGTGAAATTAGCCTCCTAGGCAAAAGCAGTCATGCATCTTTGGAATTGTTGGCGTTTTGTTAGATTTTGTAAGCAGAAAAACTATTCTCAAAGATCTGTTGCAGACTATCAAGATTCTCAAGAAAAAAATTCGAGCGAATCGACACCGTGAGGAAAAGGAGCAGGTATATACTTTTGTATGACATTTGTGGATTAGTCCACAGATACCGTATGCGAGGCTTTTGTAAACGGTCGGAGGGTGGCCTGTCAAGTAGTTCTGGGAAACGCTATCCATTTCACAGTCTAAATCCTTGTAACCAAACTTTTTCAGAATATTGAAATCAAAAAGGAAGATCAAGCAAAATCAGAGGAGGATACACCAACGACGACTGACGTAGACGATTTGAGGACGTATGTCATCAGTCCTAACTCTTGAGATTGCGCGTCTAGGTCTAGTCCCTCTGGACGTTTATGAAATTGATTTCAGGGAAGAAATCGTTGTCGGACACACCACAACTGCTTCACCACGGCGTGATCTGCCTTCTGCCAGGAAGGTGGTCGAGACGATGACGCATAAGGTGGACAATGCGCATTCTGTAGATGAAGAAACAGATGCTAGTCCTTTCGAGGATGAAACCTCTACTAAGGTAAAGTGTGGTGTCACTTGTAATATCAGTGAATGTAGGGCTTCAAAGAACCGCAAAGACTGTGTGGCAAAAATCTTCCGGAAATAGAGGGCCTATCAGAACCAAAAAGTGATTTTACAAGCCAAGGCAGCCTCATGTAGCTCTTTCAAGAAATTGTCCCACTGTAAAACGCGTAGGGCAGTGAGAAGAGAATAGCAGAGGCTTTTGCGTTAGCCACTCCCAATCCATGCCTCAACCGGAATAATCTATCTGGGATTAAGGTGCGAGAGGACGGGTGTTTTTCTTTCGAAAACCATCACCGCTCTAAGTGAAAGAACTGTGAAGTAGGAGTCACATCAGTGGTCACAAGCTTTTTTGACTAATAAGATAGCTAACATAAAGAAATATTGCTCATCCCACACATTTACGAATTACGACCCAACCACCTCAGATGATATCTGAACATCGCAAGTTTATGATGGAACCACTGGGATTTCAACACATTTTCTAAACATCTAGGTGGAGCTTTAATTAGAAGACTACCTTTCGGATCATACGAGACCTATCGGCGACTGAAAAAATAACACGAGAAAGTTGACACCAGTGAGTCGTATGTCGGCAGAAATCGAAAAATTGGTCTGGTGTGGATGTGTTGCTGCAGTCTTAATGAACTCCACCTTATTTGCATAATTTGCAGGAGGATTACCTGGTTGATAATCGCAAAATTGCATAAATCCTTAATTTTTATGCAGCTAAGCAGGGAATGATCAGAACTTAACCCAGCCAAACCAAATGTGCTATATATCATCAGAGTGGCTTGAAAGACTGATCACAAATTTATGTTTATCAACTGCCAAGCGACTATCTGTAATTAGTTATGGGCGTTCAAATGTGCGAATGTCAAATGTTCTGTGGCGCATGATCCACGAACTCTAAAAAACACTTATTTAGGTTTTTGGTGAATCTTCTTCCTTGTAATCAAATTAAACATGGTCACTTTAAAACCGCGCGATCACGCTGCCTTTAAAGAAATTGTATTGGTTAAAACTCTTGAAATTTCTAATATTTGAACGCTCATCACTCCTTCCAAATAGTCAGGGCTCGGCACAGCTGGCGCCGGGTCAAGCTGGATATCGTTTTTAAGGCGGAAAGCAAAGGGGATATCGTTTTTCCGGAGTCCGGGGCGGAGAAGTGCCGCTGGAATGCCGCCGGCATGCCACCGGCATGCTGCCCATCAACAAACAGAGGCGTTGTTTTCGATCAAAACGCAATAGTATGACACCAAATTTGGTGTGTGCATGCGCGTTGGCGGATCCGAACTATGCCCAAAAATTTATGAAGACTTATGTGAATGAAAGCTGTGCCGAACTTTTTTCTGAATTAGCTGGCACCGTGCCAGCTGGGTGCCAGCTGAGCACCGACACTTTGCTCACATAAGTTTTCATACTTTTTTTTACATAAAATGTATCTACACTGTAAAAGTTTGCATACAGTGAAAAAACAATTTCATAATGTTTTCATTTCAGCGTTTTATAGCCATTTGAAAATTACTCGGTCTGCTTCGCAATCGAAAAATTGGCTTTTTTCTGCTTCTCAGAATGTGATTCAACCACTTGAAAAGCTCAGAAAGCTGTGAAAAGTTGTTTCGTGAAATCAGCATGCATGAAAACCCTACTTCTTACTTTTACATAAACTAAAAATAATGGCTGGCCTTCAAAACAGGTCAAAGGGGACTTCGTACGAAAATTTCAGGATCAAATGGGACTTCGTTTTGAAATTTCCCCGGTGCCAGCTCGTGCCGAGCTCTGCAAATAGTCGTTCGGCAAATAATGGACATATATCTTAAATCAGCGTTTTAAGACGAGTCCGACGATATACAGCTTGTTTAGGGAATAATTAAGTTCTGACCATTTCTTCGTAAACTTGAATATGCGGGAATGGCTTGTTAGGGTACTGCAGCAGTCCACGGTTCGCTTCATAATCTGCAATCTATGGCAGTATAAATGGTACAGCCTACAATGGTAGATTTAGGTTTCTGGCAGCCATGATATTTCTACATCGACTGCATACGACAATTCCGGAACCAGACCGTCTCTCAGTTTTCAAGCGGACGAGGATATTGAAGATGTTATATTGAAGCTCTCATCAGCTACCCAGAACATTCGACGCGCTCCGGTTCGGGAATCACAACCGAGTGAACAGTTTGACAAAGATGTTGAGGAGACTGGTAATGCTACCTTGAACATTATACGATCGCATATAGTTGCGTATTCAGATACTCTCCAAGACAATGCCAAGAGTAGCTTCAGTGTACAAAAGGACGGAAGCAGGACGCATGTGCCCACCGGAATGCATCCCATTGTTATACCTGGTTAGTTTTTGAAGAATGTATGTGTTGGAGCTGTACAGTCTAGTATACGCTTATCATAGTGTGCTTGCGATACCGATATCAAGCGACCAAACGCGCGCATGAATTAGCCACGCAGGCGGAGATATGTAGTTCACGCGCAAATTTTGTCGCCTAATCTCAGCACCGCAAGAACACCAAACGAGAAATCTACTAAACCATAACGCAGCTTTGTTGAGGTATAGACTGGGAAAAGACTATTTGTGACTTAACTGAAATAGGAACATAACCATCACGCAGGTGGTCAGGAGAGAAGCCTTACAAAGACACTTTGTAGACTTGCTTGATTCGTCCTTGCAACTCTCAGGCTTTCAAATGCTCATATTTCTATATAGATTTTTTGAAAAATACTCTGATCCACGACGTAAAAGAAATGATTTAGAAATGGCTATTTTTGAAAAGAAGCACAGAGGCGAGAATATAGTCGAAGACCTTGCAGAAAGCGCTGGCATCGACAAGGATGCAGGAGACGCCGACGAAGACCTTAGTGTTCGTCCAACGCAAAAAGGTACAAACAGAGCCTTCGAGCAGGTAGAAAAGGGCTTACTCTTTGCTGTTGTGTGGGAATACTTCAAAGACCGTGGTTCCTTTCTCCTCGGGAAAATACCAGAAAATATCTCATTTCTTGTCCAAATGAACAAAAATTGAATGTAGCATGAAAGTTCTTCAGAGGTGACGAAAACTTGTTTGTGGTGAAAATGTTTTGTTTTTCTAGGCACAACTGAATGAATCTATTCCTTCTTTTGATTCCTTAAAGAATTGACATAGAACTTTGCTGCGGACATTTTTCTCGAAAACCATAGCTGTTAGGCGTGGCCTTGAAATCAATGTCTAAAGCTTTCCCATCTTTGAAATTTATAGAACTTTTTTTAGATGTAGATTCAAGTCAGTGGCACCAGTAAGTAAAATGTGACGATTTCACTTAGAACATTCTTGCCCCAGCAGCGTGATTTCGCATAAAACGATTGCGCTGCATTTTGATGCCATCTCATAGTGAGATTTATGGGATGGAAAATATAAATTTTTGGAGAGAAGACCGGATCTTCGATAAATAACAGATTAAACGCAGATTATATTTTGGAATCAACATCTAAGCCTTTATAGACCACTTGAAAAGTCCAGAGGGGATTTTGCAATTGGTTTATCTGGATCAAAAACAAAGTATGATTTTATTCAAAGGCTACTTGGAAAGTATTTCCGACAATGTATAAAGTGTTCTCTTGACGTTTATTGTACAGTGACCCAGAGAAGGTATTTCAGAAGTCACAGACAATCTAGTACTGGTGAGCTCGAAGTCTTTCGTCGGAGTGCCCCCTACATCAGCTACTGAGGTTTGTTCATTTGCACTTGCTCCTCAAGGGTGACTATGTAAAACACAGACTGCTCTGAAGAATTTTTGCTAAGTTTCTTGAAGAATGATTGAGAGTCGTATTGGGCGGCATTTATGAGACAGGAGTATTCTTCTACTGGCTTAGCCTTGTTTTAGAAAGCATCCACATTCTCTGCTGCCGACACAACAAAAATGGAGCCATCGAGCACAGCTTCACGTTCGACGACATCGTACAATCCAGCGACATTCTACCACACACCCGTACCAAGGCCTACTAAGAAAGCAAAAAGTGAGTGACGTGATAAAGTATATTTCTGAAAAAAACCTGGTCAACCTAAGTCAAATCAAATTGAAAGCATTCTCGCATTTCGTAAGAATTGTTTACGCCAATGACTCGCGTACGCTCGTCGACTGAACCAAGGAAAGGTTACGTTACTGAAGGACAGGGTTTAGGCAAACGCGAAAAGCGGCCCAATTGATCCAGTGGGCCGCTGGCCCAGCTCCCCCCGCTATCTAACACGGGAATGGTCAGAAGTCGAAGTGGCCAAACCAAACAAGCTGTATACCATTCGATGCAGTATAAAACGCTGACTTCGAATCTGTCTGCCTTATCTGCTTCCCGCTTCTGTGGACGAAGCTACAAGCCATTAAAGAACATTATTTTGCTAAGAAATTACGCGTGAAATTGAAAATTTAGCCGCGGTGAGCCACGTTCGCCTTAATGCTGGGCCAAAACATGCAGCTAGCCTACTTCGAATTATTAAAAAAAAGAAGCTGAGCTAAAAGTACAACAGTGTGCTCAATTTCGCTGTATTTATGTGTGATTTTTTCACAATAAAACCGCTTGTAGCTTCGTCCACAGAAGCGGGAAGCAGATAAGAAAGACAGATTCGAAGTCAGCGTTTTATACTGCATCGAATGGTATACAGCTTGTTTGGTTTGGCCACTTCGACTTCTGACCATTTCCTTGTAAGGTTTTGCTGTCCATTTGGCCCCTCTGAAGCCATCCACACAACATTTCTTGCACCCGAGAAATAGAGTTCGCATTTCTACAATCGGTGAGGCACATTTGCGTATTCAGCGCCTCGAAAGCTCTAGAACGACTTGCAGTCGGGGGGCAGCCATGAACGATAGATTGTGCCAGCCATATGCGCTGCGTAGGTCAACCTTTTTCAAATTTCATATTTAAGCTATGATGATATCTCGCTTGGAAAAAACGTTGGAAGCTCTGTATGCCCTGATTCTTACTGTTCGACACCATTTTCAATCTAGTTTGGAACATACAGCTTCAAAAAATAAAACTTAATGTGCGTCATATTGACAATCGCAGGAGTACAGTATGCTTGTTGCCAGCTATCGTTCATCTTGGCATACTCCCTTGCAGTCAAATACAGATTCAAAGCCATTCTTTTTGGCAGTTAAGAACCGCCCCGAGCCTCATCGAGGTTTACAACTCGCTACTGCTTGATCCGATAATGTGACACCACATTAGGATCGAGCAGTGGTGTGGCATATAACCGCCGGACGCCCCCTCCCCCACCTCCCCGCATTATCGTTTGCCTGCCGTAGGCAAGACACAAAACTCTAAGCATAGTTAGTAATAAGTTCGTAATCATGTCTAATCCCTGTGGGCCAAGTTTTAACGAATTCTGAGAGTCTTGTATATTGGCCACCCATGGTCATTCTCAAACAAGGTTAACTATATCTCAAAAGTGAGTTAGCTACTTCTTTTTGTACTAAGTGCAAAGAACTACTCTCTACTTGCCCAAGCCATGAATCCTGCTTCAAAACCATCAAACTATGGAATTAGGATATAGCCGAAATCTCATTTGTCCCATTTTACGCTTGCAATGGTTGTGCTTCCAGCAATCATCGCTCATAGGAAAAAGATGAACACAGCTCTAATTATTTCTACAAAAACTACGAGACTTTGGCTATCGAACTATATACAAATTGTTCCCTAATATTCTTAAAGGTAAATTAATCGGGCGTGGCACAACCCCAGAAAGGTAGTGGCTGCCACACCTTTTCAAGGTTTGTGCCACAACCCTCAACTTACCTTCAAAGCATTCAAATATCTGTGTCTTTTATATCGTTGCCGCTGCTAAACCTTCTTCTCTACACAGCAGGAATTCCGTTCAAAATCATTTCTCTTAGGGAAAATACAGGGCGTTCCAAAAAAATGTGAACACTGTTTGATTGTTAATAACTCTCTTGCTTTCTTGTCTTTTGCCGAGCTTAAGGCACCATTCTATAGAGCGAGGTTCAACTTAGATCCATAGTATGGAGCGAATCGTCGATCTCTCTTCATTACTGTAGGATTACGGCAAGAACTTCGACAAGGATTTTAGGCCATTGAAGGCCATTTTCTGCCTCAAAACAGAGCCAAACAAGCCGAAAACTCGTGTACTATGGTAATGGAAGCCGCTGATTTCGAACATGAAATTTCCACTTTACTGTGATGTTTTTTTCCAAGGTTATTCCAGGTAAATCGTAATAACTGAATTTCTAGCATTTGTCAGAAAGGTGATTACACCGTCAGAAAAGCTAAAAACACTTATAAAAAGTTGTGTAATGGAATCAGCGTGCGCGAAAACCCTAGTACACGATTTTTCAGATTTTTTGAAAAAAATTTTGTCAAATGACATATTTCACTATAGATCCACTTGCTAGAAGTTCATACCGTAATCCAACAGTAGCGAACACCGACCGGTGATGCGCTCCATACTACAAATCTAAGTTGAACCTCGCTGTAAAGAATGGTGCCTCCAGCTCAGCGAAAGACATGAAAGCAACGGAGTTATTAACGATCAAACAGTGTTCACATTTTTTTGGGACACCCTGTATAGTCGTACCTCCCAGTAGCTGTCCCACGATTTCCGTCCGGAGTGGGGAGGGTGCGTCCCCATAACCTCTAATATCTAAAAAAGGGATCGTGGCGGAACGCCTCCGAAAAAATTATTTACAAGGCCAGTTTGAATTTCTAAAAATTCTAAAAATTATTTTAATTATTTACAAGAGAAAGTAGTCACTTGCACATTTCTATAACCCAAGTAAATAAATTTCAAAAATTTCGTGACCGATTCTCGGGGGAAATGGGGTCTCCCTCCCCTCGCTCCGCCTTTGGTACTTCCTTACCTATGCAAGTAGAAAACACTGCGAAAATATTTGGTTATGGTAACATGCTAAGTCTGCGCTACCATGTGAATCGCGAGGGAAGGCGGCGAGATTGAAATCCAATACTCTAAGCCTCGTAACTTTCACAAAAGTGATTTGAGCCTGATTGGTTTCCATAGTCTGAACTTTGAAAGCGAAAAATGGGACAAACGAGATTTTGGTTTCCTCTTAATGCCATAGTTTGGAGGTTCAAAGTGAGGTTCCTAATGTGAGCAAATAAGTAGTAGTTCTTCGCAATAAGTGCAAAAGAAGTGGTCAACTTACCTTTGAAACAAGTTAACATTTCGAAAATGACCATTTCACTTTGGTAGCCCAGTACTTGGAAGCCTCAGAATTCTCCGAAACTTGGCCCACAGAGGTTATTTGACAAGCTTATAACGAAAATTATGCTCTTATGCTTTTAGGGCTCTTTTATTATGTTTACTGTACGTGACGGTAGGCTAAAACATCAATGTGCCTTTACTTTGCATAATGCTTATTTGAGACTGTTAACGGATATCATGTTATCGCTAACATCAGCATCACCTCGATAAGCCCCCCCCCCCCCATCCCTGACCCCTCCACCCCACGCTTGACCCTGCTCCACACTGGGAAGTATTCGGTCTCGAAACGACTCGCTGAACTTGCCAACACACAGCAACTTTTAAAACAAGTCAAAAATAAGTGGACTTCATTGTGAACCTATTCTAGAATCACATAGAATGATGACTGGCAAGTACTCTCAACAGGATACAAACAAGATTTCTTTCTCTTCTCTGCAATTTTGACTCAAAACTTCTAAACATGTAATGTAAAATATGCAACTTTCTATCTTTCTATTTCGTTAGTACCTCACATCAGTGGCGTACCGAGGGAGGGGGGGGGGCACCCTCCCCCGAAAACGGGTCGCGAATTTTTTGAAATTTACTTACATGGGTCATAACATTGTGCAAATAACTTGTCTGCACTTGTAAATAATTAAAATAATTTTTAAAATTTTCTAAAATTCATTTTAGCCCTATAAAAATTTTTTTTCGGGGGCGCGGTGTTCTACTACGCGATGCAATTGACTTTCATCCGTTTGTTTCAAATGAAGTTTTGTACAATTCGTTTACAATGACTTAAAAGCAATTCATTTACAATGACTTATATTCTATTTGAAGAAGATCAAGATAAGATTTGCACTAGCAAGGTTTGATTTACTTGCTTGTTATCAGATCTGTCTCAAAGTTTGTAATAGAGATTTTGAAAATTAGCTAAGTTTACACAAGGCAAAAGCGAAGGGTTTGAAATTTGGGGAGTTAAGCGCAGGGCCCGGCACGAGGTCGGCAAATGACAAGCTGGAAATCGTTCTGGGGCCAAAAAGCAAAGGGGAAATCGTTTTTGCGGGGTCCGGGGCAGAGCCTCGGAAAAAAATTGGTAGTTCATGCTCGCTACTTATCTTGACATGTTATGTGCCTCAACAGGCGAACACTGGAGTTCGCGCGCGTCAAACCGCGCCGTCGCTAAGTGCCGCTGCGCGACGTCGCCTAAGCGATGCTATTTGTAACTGCATACATGACTAGTTCTCAATGTGTGTGTAACGATATGGCACCAAATTTTGTGTGCGAAGAGGCTAGTGGAAACATAGTATGAAAAATTATGAAAAACTTATGTGGACGGAACGAGTAATTAGCATTTTTTCCGAGAATTTCGCAAAACTGGTAAACGAAAATGTGAATTTAAACGGCTCGTTTGGAAAGCGCAGATGAACGATATGGTATGAAACTTGGTAAGTACATGCACACGGGCTTGCAGGACTTAACTGAGGAGTTTCATTGAGAAATTATGTGACTGAAGGTTGTGGCAAACTTTTTTCTGGAAATTTTGCGCTACCAAAGAAATGGAAAAATGGCTCGTTTGCAACGCAGAGGTAACGAAATCGCGCGGGCTTCGGTATGTATATGCGCAATAGGACTAAGTAATAAAGTATGAAATATTATGAAAAACTTATGTGAATGAAGAGTTTCCTTAACTTATTTCCAAATTAGGTCGGCATTTGCCGACCTAATTCCCACCTGAGGTCGGCAAAACTCTCAATTCACATAATTTTCTCAAAATTTTTACATAAATCTGCTGTACACCTAGAGTTTACTACATGGTGAAATTTTGGTTCCGAAACTCCTCCTCTTGTCCTTGTTGTAGCCCAAAATGGCATCAGCAGCCCAGCTTTCTAAGATAGAAAGCGCGCCCCAGTCAATCGATACGCGCGGGAACGGCGTCTCTCATTCCTATGACTGCGTTTCTTTGATATTTTCTCATTCCCTAATCCTTTTTACTGCTTATTTTTCTTCCTGTTTCCTATCTTGGTACAGCAATTTGAGTAATATGAGGAATTTGAGCAATTTGGGCGCTTTTGAGCGCTTTTAGGCGAAGTGTGGCCGGTAATCTCGTCGCACAAGCACAAAACGTCATTTTTGGGCTCAAGGGAGTATTCGTAAAACTTACTGGGATCAAAGGGGTATTCGTTTTGGAAAACCCCGTTTGCCCACCTTGTGCCGGGCCCTGGTTAAGCGCAGGGCTCGGCACGAGGTGGCTAGTTGAAAACGCAAAAAACGAAGTCCCCCTTGACTTTTGCGAATTTTTACGAAGTCCCCTTTGACCCTAGACCAGGGCTCGGCACGAGGTGGTGTCCCGAAATTGCAAAAAATGAAGTCCCTTTTGACTTCAATGAAATTACGACATCCGCCATGAGATATTCGAAGAGAAAATACATGAAAAGGAACGGAACAAAGCAACAGCAGCAAAAAACGAAGAAGAATCATCGAACACATGCAATTATATTCATATTCTCCGGAATGGCGACATGATGTATTCATCGTGCAGTAATACGCGCCTAGAGCAGCCTTTCCGCGGCCATTCAAAATTTTCAAGGGGCTATAACTAAGCGGGGAGAAGGGGGTTTGAGGCGGTTTAGGAACCAGTTTGTAGGATTCGGGATGTAGATGAAAAGTATGTAAAGAAAGTGGAAAAATTATGTGAGGGAGGGAAAATTTATGACTTTTTCTTTCCTAAGCCACCTCAGGTGGCTATCCAGGTGGCTTGAAAGCCACCTAACTCCAAAAAAAGTTGAGCACGCCTTTAGTTCACATAATTTTTTCATAATTTTTCATACATAGTTCTAACTCCCCATTGCCCATCTACACACCTATTTTGGTGTCATTTCATCTTCACTTCGCTGTAAACAAACCTTTTGTTTATTTGCTAGCGGCATGCCGGCAGCGTGCCGGCCGCAGATCGAAAGACAACGTTATTCTCTTCCGCAAAAACGATATCCCCTTTGCTTTTTCCCCAAAAACGATATCCAGCTTGCTTGCTAAGCCACCTGTGCCGTGCCCTGGTTAAGCGATCATGGTTGAAAACATATTGGAAACATAGTTTTTGGAAGAAGCAAAGAGTACGTCGAGTACCAGTCTTGAGTGGGGATGATTGGCTCTCTCTAGTACCTCACCGACCATTTGAATGTCTGGAAGGTATCAATGTAACACCAACAAAGCTCAACATTCCCTTTTCTTCGAGCAATGAGTGCGAGCCCGAATGTTTGACTTTGGTTGTATTCGAGATAAGCTTTATATCGCAGATCTGTAATACTAGGAAGATTAATTTAAAAACTGATGGTAATGTTATCAGAGCGGATGTGGAACTCCTTACGCTCTCACATCATAGTACCAGAGTACTTCATTTAGTTGCGAAGACGTTGCTTTATCACTAAGGTACAAAAAGGAACGACGATGTTCAACAATGACTAAGGCCAGATCACATTTCAGTGTCCTAGTCAACTCCAGAGAATCAAACATGCCTGGTATGGCTGGATGAAAACTGTAATACCAAATTTTAGTACTCACTTTCTGCACAAAAGATGTGGCTATTCGCGATATTCGAAATATGGCAATCGCGTGCGGTAGTGATGCGGATATATGGCAACCGAGTAGATGTCCACTCGGAGCAGACTGTCTACTGTCTCAAGATAGCTCGTACAGATTGTGCTGCCCTGTATTCAAAGGATGAGTATTACAGAAATATTGTATAGAATATATGCTTTGGCAGACTTCGTACATGTTTGTTCTACTTAGCATTGATAATAATTTCTGAGTGCGTGTAACGTTGTACATACCTCATATGTTTTATTCGTCAACGAAGAATAAATGTTCATGATAACCGTCTTTGCTGAAAGGAAGACAGAGTATTATGTCAAAGTTGAAATCTGAATTTGCTTTGCAAACCGATTCTCTTTCAAAGGTGTGTAGTGTGACGTGTGACAGATGAAGAAGGTGCTGACCCTCTGTTCTTAAGCGGGTTTGTTTTCCTCCTGTATGTAGCAGTAATTCGATTAATTTTTTTAAAGCTATCTGCAGGGATTTGAAGGTGATCTGGTTAAGATTCACGGGGTGGAGGTGTACATAACATTTCGTGTATATAACAGTACCACTCTTATTCAAGTGGGTTAAAATAACCAGAGCTTTTCCTTCACTTTCTCAGAGTCATCAAGCTCTACGACGATGACTAGGTAACCAAGATCAACAGGGTTGCCGCCCTAAATAAAGTTACGTTTTAACAATTTTTGTTAGAAACAAATTGTTTCCAGATAGTATGGACTAACTCAACAACCACTAGCTCTTCTCAGAAAACACTAAATCGTTTGAAATATCATTGTTGTATTATCCTTGCACAACAAAGATTATTTCTCTCACTGAAACGCTGGACAGAAAGGAACTTCTTCGACATTTGAGGTCTGTTCCATTGCTTGCCAATATACTTGGGTAATTCGAAAATTTTTCATCGAATGGATGAATATCAAATAAATTCGAAAAGGAAAAATTTCGAATAAACGAATACCGAATAAATTCGAAAATAAAAAATCTCGAATAAACGAATATCGAATAAATTCGAGGTTCAGAAATTCTCGAATGAATGAATCCCGAATGAATTCGGAAAATCAAAAATATCGAATGAATGAATATCGAATGTATTCGAACATTGGAAGTCGAATTTCGAATAAATATTCGAATGATTTATCGAATAACTAGAGCAACCATATCTCAAACTTGCCGACATATCTGGCTAAAACCGATCCATTACATAATCAGCACCTTCGTATCCCCTATACCACCTCCTCTCCAAATTTTCCAAAAATCGCTGAAATCGATAAAATAGATTTCGGTTTTGATCGGCATTCTCATTTACCCCCTGTACCAACTCCCAACCTCGTAGCTCAAAATTTCCCAAAAATCGACAAAACCAATAAAGTAAAATTTTATCCATAATAAGCACCCTCACTTGCTTCCAAGTATAAATGCTTCTTTTTTCAGTTTTGTTTCTCTTTGCTTTTATGCATCCAAACTCTATTTTACGGCAACATGCTGTAGCTGCCGTTTGTGTTTGTGCAGTATAGTATATTTCTCATCTATTATAGTCTGTTTGAAGTGCCATGATTTTGCGGTGAAAAGCAGGAATCTTGGCACCGCAACACTATATTAAGCAAGAAATCTACTGATCTGTAAAAATGAGGCTCTCACAATCTACGAGTGTGACCGCTATCTTACCAACATCTCATCTATCTCATTTTGCTCAACTTTCATTACTAGATTCAATCCTTATGACCATTGAGCACATTCGTGACAATAAACTTTGAGATTAAGCATCTATTTCGTTTCATTTGGGATTTTCAGACTTACAGAAGTCTACTGCCGGACGAAGGTGCACCATATTTTAATTATTCACAAGTATAAACAAGTCACTTGCACATTTTTATAACCCATATACCTGTTCATCGGAGACTTTCGTCTTGTGTGGTATAAGCTAGTAGTGGACGAAGGCATGTGGTTTTTTCCGCAAAGCGAGCACGAATGCCCCTATAGCCCCGGGCATACTGCAGGCATTTCAGTGGCGACGTGGTATGGCAATACTCGAATTGTCCAAACTTATTCTAAAAGTACAGAATGCAGGGCATTTATCTCTCTAGTAAGTTGTACACGCTAAACATTTGTGGTAAGTTGGAGTTACAGAAGACATCTCGTAACTTGCAAATCGCGTACGGCGATCTAGACCGTCTAATCCTGCACTACAACTGCGATGTCAAAATACAGAATTCGCAAAAAATCTCTAAGGGTAGCGAATAGTGGCAGTTGTGCAATATAACTTACTAGCTGGCTTACCCGGCTCCGCCGTATTCCGAATAGAAAATTCCATTTCTTAACCGATCCGGACCAAACTTGGCACACATACACTTCGGGCCCCGGAGGGTGTCATAGGCTACTTTTTGTCATCGATCGATGTCGATTTTATCGATTTTTTGCAAAATTTGAGCTAGGGGGCTGGAATTTGCCAGGGGTGGGGGGTGTAATCGAGCATGCTGATCACCTCCACGAGGGTGATCAGCATGCTCGATTACCCCCCTGTGCCAACTCCCAGCTCCGTAGCTCAAATTTTGCAAAAGTCGATAAAATCGATATCGATCGATGACGAAAAGTAGCCTATGACACCCGCCGGGGCCCGAAGTGTATGTGTGCTAACAAGGGAACCGTGTCGAGTCGAAGTGGCCTTTCCAGATGCGACCCAAACTGCTTTGAAGAGTATCAAATGTTGATTCCATATCTGCCTTCCAAATCTGCCAAGCGCCTCTGGACGTCGAGTTTTGACCGTTCTTCGGGACGAAAAATGAATGCAGAATTTAGGTAAAATTGATTGTTACAATCTTTCCAGCGCTCAGATAAAGCAATGTTGAGTATCAGCATATTGAATAAAATCTATCCATTGCATAAACAGCTCTGATACTTGACACTGGACCATTTGAGCAAATTTGGGCAATTTTGCTTCAGTTTTGCGTTCGGTTTTTTGACCTGAAAAACGAGCATAACTCGGCGTCCAGAGGCGCTTGGCAGATTTGGAAGGCAGATTTGGAATCACCGATTAATGCTCTCCAAAGCAGTATGGGTCTCATCTGGAAAGGCCACTTCGACTCGACACGGTTCCCTTGTAAGTTTGGTCCCGATCGGTTCAGAAATGGAATTTTCTATCCGGACATACGTACACACATACAGACATACAGACAGACATACAGACAGACAGACAAACAGACATTCAGCTTTATATGTAAGATGCGAGCAAGAGTGCTCACTACTGTGGGCTTTGCCTACCAAAAACAGGCATTTCAAAACACTTTCAATATATGAACTCGGAACATGAGCTTGAATTTGATAGCTTCTTTGCAAATTTGGTGCCAATAGCAGGATGAATTATCTCATTGATGACTGAAAAAGCATCAATTAATACCCACACCTATTTTTTTACTGTCGCAAGCAATCGGAAGAATGCGACTCTCCATACAGTTCAAAGGTATAACGGTTGCAAAAGATGCATTACCAATTTTTGCGAGAAAAAAACACGGACGAAGTGAGCTTGATACTCAGCAGTTGGCTCTGCAACAAAGTCGAATAATCTGAATACGGAGTTCATTCGAATACGAATTCGAATAACCATTCGAATAAAACATTCGAATAAAATCTATTCGAAAATCCACTTTTTGATTATTCGAGTTTTCGAATAATATTCGAAACCCTGTTTTTTGATTATTCGAGTTTCGAATTTTATTCGAAACCCCGTTTTCTCAATTATTCGAGTTTCGAATATTATTCGAAAAAGGAAGAACTCCGATATCGAATTTCGAATACGAATATATTCGAATTTTATTCGAATGATCGAATTTCTATTCGATTCGGACCCAAGTATACTTGCCAACATCCAGCGAGTGAGTATCACTGTCCTATGATTAAGCTTTGAGGATTATGAGTGAGAGCATGACCTATGAACAATTCCGCGATAGTGTTAGGCAGCGCTTAGAGCTTTTGTATAGTTGCGTTCCCTGAATATCGTGAGTTGGTAATACATAAATGGTCTTGTAGAAATCAAGTTGCAGTGCCATATTTGATTTCATCAATTCTATACAATTGAAATATGACTTTAACTCTCATTGGCTCAATCATAGTAGGTCGTTCCGAATCTTTATGCCATTTTTCGTTGAACCATTCCGCAACCGTAGAAGCTAGACAAGCACTTTGATTTTCATTAATAAAGAATTCTTTTCCAACAGTATACTCCCATATTTCCTTGACAAACGCTCAGACAATCCCCGTATCCAACCCATCGCTTTTATTTCTCTAGCTCAGGCCTGTATAAATTTTCAGAGACTTATGGAAAAGCCTTCTTGAATAGCAGATGTAGGGAGCCTTTGCGCTGGAATTTATGAAGTCTCCCTCCAGCTAGCTTCTCCCAATAAATTGCAGAAGCAGGTTTTTTGTTGGAATGACCAGTCTGATACCCGCCCATCAAAACCTCGCATAAAAAACTACTGATAAGTAATTCATGTACCATTCTAGCCAGCTGATTTTATTATTTCCAGCTGCTAAATTCGCCAATGTCAAGTCGACAAGATACAAATAGGAATGTCCAGGACCTTCACATTCGGAGGCTGATCGATCATTTATGCACTTTGCAAGATTAGTTTTAGTGATAGCTGAATTGCCTTTGAACTGGAGTTCTCGTTTTTGAAAGAACAATTTTCGTTTAATTTTTATAATATTGCAAGGAGTTCTTGTATAAGCCTTCGCTACCTAGATCTTTGTTCATTCCTGTATTCCATGCATTCGGGAATGAGAGATTGAATCTTGAAATTATTTTTACTCCACTCTTCTTGTTCCATTCCTGAGAACCGCAGAATTTATTTTGAGAAATATCTATAACGATAGGGAAATTGTATGCTGTAAAATATTAGGGTGTCTTATAAATTTTTTTTACCGTTTTTACTATAACCCTCGTCTCTTTCAATTTTTTCTCCAGTTGATGTGGCTTAAGTAATCATTCGACAGGGCAAAGCAAGCTCTACAAGATGGCCATGAAGAACTCTTAATTTACAGGGAATTTCGAGCTGAAATCTGATAGCAGCCGAAAACGAACTTTTGCTTCAAAATCGCATCTCCGCCCCAAAATGTCTTAAAAATTCCCCATTTGTCATAGCGTATGCTTGATACATCGCACATTCAACTGTACTATCGTATTTTTTTCCATGGCTAGAAATAAAGAAAAAATGAATGGGTTGAAATGGCAAACTCCGAATCTAGACGTCCTGAGCTCCTCCCACGCACGTGATCCTATAGCTCATACATACAGAAGTACGACGATGTTTTTGTAAGTTTTGAAGGTGCCGCAGTTTTCGAGAAATACTGATGTTTAGGGCAAAAACGGTAAAAAAATTATGGGACACCCTAATATTTTCTGGATGAAAAAAAATCTTGAGCCGAGAAAATTTATCCAGAACCTTCACTATACAGCAAGGTTATTTGGTAGAAAAAAGCGGCAGAGCTTTTTACTTTGTGGTGGAAAATGAAATTCCAAGAAATCTCCAGCTGAAATCCCGAAAAATGAGCACTTTTGATTTTTTCGCATGTTCCCCCGCAAAAAAATTCCCGTAAAATCAGCTTGGCCCAACTACTACACTCAGCCGACTTCAGCTACACAGTGATCAGAGTGTGCGTCTTTGAACAGCTCAGGATAAATTATGCTCTCTCGAACTATTGGAAGATAAAGTGTGCTCTCTCGAACTGGTAATCTAGATAGATCTTTGTTGTAATGACTACATTCTACAAAAATATGTGCTGTACAGAGAAAGGTTTACTGTTTGCAATTTTGTTGGCGTTTAACTATTGTTCCAAGAATGACTATTTGATTGAGGATTTCAATTCGAAGTTAAATTATAGCAAATTTGCATTGATTGGAAGAAGACTAATCCAAAAATTCAAAGCATCGCCAAGTATTGATTACTTCCATTGATCATTTATATTAGTTACCACTCGGAAAACACAGTGGTATTTAAGCTATCGAAAGCTGTCGCTGAACTTACAGATGTTTTTCTACAGAAGAAGAGGCTCGGAAATCAATCTTGGAAAACTCGTACTCTTTGGGATTTTGGTTTAAAATTTTTTTTGTTTGATCATCAATTAAACAATTGCACAATTTTGCCTCATGTGGATGGCTTTTTGGCCCTATTCCTTCCCAAAAATATTTTGCCGTTATGCAATAGGTGAGCATTGCTTCAAAAATGATCCAGATAGGGATACAATTTATTAGTCAAAAACAATCAAAGAAGGAACAAAGCAGCATATGCACTGATGAAAATAGCAAGTCAAAATTAAAGAAATTAGAGGGGTTAAAAAACGGCAGTTCATATGGGACCATTTGATTTGCGCCAACCTAATAGCAGGATTAGAGCCGTCACTTCTCGAAGCTCTTAAGCTTTTTCAACAGCATATATTTGACAATAAAGTGCAAGAGTCGCACTTCGAAGCAGCCAGCGAAATTTTTCAAAACTTCTTCGAAGTAAATCAAAGTAGCTTTGCACTTTATTCAGAACATTTTGCGCTCTGTACAGCAAGAAATATATGGTTATGATGAACATTTTTGACAATGTCTAAATAGTAGCTTAGGCAATTGGTGTTTGACTCGTTTAGTCAGCCGACTTCTAAGACATTACTGAACACAGTTCAAAATAAAACATTTTCAGAGTTACTTCTCCCGTAATCTGCAAAGTATGAGTGCAGTGACCCCAGCTAGCTCTCAAGATGCACTCACACTCTTCAATTCTGTCATGATCGAGCCAACATTATTGACGAAGGAAATGCAAACCTTTATTGCAACACAAAATAGCACCCTTGACCTTGAGTATGACTGAAAATTGTACGAAACACTACCCATACGGGTAGTCAGTCAAGCTCCTTCACTTTTAAAGTGTCGTTTTGAACATGAAAAGCTGCTCCACTTATCGGCTAATTATCCCAAAGTTTGAAGCATTTGCAAAATTTGGCGGTAGTTCTACAAGCTTTATTGATTCTGTTTGCTGCTCATTATTACTGTATCTACTAGTGATAATGAATGAGATATTACTTCGCGGTGATAAGGCCAAACTTAAGGCTAAGCTTGCACATGTTAGGTTATATATTATGTAGGTGGATCAACTTTTCTATGCACCAAAGACAAGATCATCAGCTTTGAAACATGGGATTACATCATTTAGTTTGGAAAGGAAAGAACGTAGGTTTTTTATGGTAAAGCAACTAGAGAAAACTCAAACGATGTAGAAGGGGTTGTAATTGATAGAGCGTATAGAGCAAGCTTTACAAGATGAAAACTTTGAGCTGTAACGCAAATTGTGATTTACGCAAAGTTTGAGGCCAAAATCCATGAATCGGTGACGCCAAAAATCGGATCTTCGTCCTAAAAGATCCTACGGATATCCAATATTCCTGCGTGCAGCACTCATTCATATATAGGTTTAAAATAATGTTTCCCTGTCTAGATATCAAGAAAAAATATTTTAGAAATTGGCAAACTCCACTTTTATCGTCCTAAGTTCCTCTTATATAGGCAGTGGCGTACTACAACCCTTCGAAACTTTAACCATGGAATTTCTTTTTTGTGCAGGTAATAATTCCTGAAAGATTTAAATTATAGCAAAAAAACGACATTCTCTTGTCATTCCTATATGATTTTCATTTAGCTGAACTGTCGTTTACCCTTCTAACCCTGAACGGCAGGATCTTCACGCTGTGCAGACCCACGCTGTCCGAGTAAGTGCACCGACTTCCGTCACCTCATCTGGTTTGCAGGCGTTTTTTCTCGGTGGCAATCGTCATGCTGCTCATCTTTGTTTTGTCCTTTCAACGCTGCGGTCCAAACACCCGCAGCCGATCTGGTCCCAAGTAGTTTGACTCTCCTGTCTAGTATTATTATGATGTTATAATGGTCTTCACGCGCCTCTATCCACCTGAACCTGTTTCTCTGGCCGGCCACTCTGCGCCTCCGCCCTCTATGAGCTGCCTTTTTGCCGTGTTTCCGCTTCAACTGTCTCCAATGTTGTTTTTTCGACGGTCAATTATGGTATGGTGCAATTTACGCGTTGTGTCGATTTTACCGTATTCGCACCAGCGGACGTGGAACACCAGTTAAATGGCGTAAGTAATTATCGTAGGATGGAGTACATGACGTACTTGGACACTTTAGCCACTATGTGACCACTGAAATGCATCAAGTGACTCTCATCCATAATTGTCTTTGAGCAGGCAGTAAAGGTGACCTTCGGGTTTTTTCGTCGCCTGAGGTGAACACACATTGTGGAAAGCACTGATGGCCCTCTATACCTACCTAGTATACGTCTACGAATCCATTTAAATGCCCACCTAACTTCCTTTTTAGAATGTTGCAACATACTTGGTAGAATAAATTCGACCTACACTACAAACTGAAAAAGAGATTGTAGCAAAAAACGGTAAAATTCTAATTTTAGCTCCAAATAAAGCTCTTGTGAACCTCAAAGCGGTGAAGAACAATACAGTCTTTGCTCGAAACTCAACTTTGTATATCGCAGAAATTGACTTCAAAAAATAAGTCAAAAACTAAATCCCCCTTTTTCTAGCACTTTGCGAGTTAGTGACTGCGAGTGGTCAAAATTGCGTTCAGTTTGGCGGTGATGTGGAGAAGCCGACTGACTCGTGCGTCCGGTTTCCAGGTTTTCCGGTGAGGAAAACATTGTGACCGGTTGATAGTCAAAGCCTGCAAGGCTGGAAACTCTAATCCCAAGGAATCAAATTAGTTTGTTATGACGATTGTTTTCAGAAAAATATGACCCCCATAAAATTCAAAGGTCTCTTGGAACCAAGTCAAGTTCACTAAGCCCAAGCGACGATACATAGAGATGAATCATCTGGAACACCCCGTACAGATCGTTGCGCTTCACATTTTGCACATGCACGGCGATGCTCAAAGCAGCTTGAGAGTGTAAACAGTGGAGTTATCTCTGCGTCGGTCTGCCTAGATGTTTTGGTTCATGCGGCTACGGTGCATGTTGTTTGTGCGCGAGAGAAGCGATTATTATGTCACGAAACGTGCTTAGCCATTCTATTGGCATTACACATTATCCACGACAGTCGACGTCGTCCGCGAAGCGGCGAGCCTGTTTGCCAACCGCAGTGCATGCATGTTCCGGCGGTGTTGAACCTCTTCAGGTCAGTTAGCGAACGATTCGTGCGGATTTGCGAGGGGGGGGGGGGTCGGGTGAATCTGGATTGTCGAACGAACTCGTCAGTGACAACGTTTATGATAATTATGTTCCATGTTCACAACAGAAATACAACAGTAGGCTGACAGAGGTAGATGTCACGCGACATCCGACAGAACAAATGTCATCAGCTGCAACAACTAAATTCCTACAGCGTATGAGGAATATAGCAATATCACTGACCAAGCCTAAACAACAAATCAAAATAGGAGGAAGAGAAAGGGGTAAAAAAAAATTATGCTCGTGTAAGATTCTGTCCATGATCATTCACATTTATACATGCTGAGGAGGTTGATCAGATTACCCTGTGGCTATTGCCGTGAACTGATGAGTACACGATAACGATGGTCAAGGCGAGATGGGTACATGGTATTTGGACGAGATTCTCTATGCACTGTCATTTCGGATCCGACAACTAATGGCAGCAGAAGTCATGAGACTGTCATTGAATATGCCGTAAACTAGGGAAAACAAAACACGTTCAACTATGAACTCCATAGGAGCGGAGAGATAGAAAATAGGTAGTAGAAGTCATGTGTGATCATAAGAGATAAACCGGCTGCATCTGTAGTGCTGGCAATATAGTAGTGGTCTGACCATTTTTCGAGAGTTATAGCATGATGATAATTCGAGTTCTCTTCTTCGAAAGGCTTCGCAGTATTCACAAGTGTTGTGCGCCCAGCGAGGGCAGGACGGGCAGGAGGCCAGCAGCGGCCAGTCCACCGGGCCCGAGCAGGGTCGCGTACCTTTTCCACATCACGTCCATGTTCGCCGTGCTGGTCGCCACTCTGAAAATCGAATTTTGACAGATGGGATCAATTCTCACTGTGACAGCGCGGATTTCGCTTGTCATGAAAGCGCGGAGACTTTAAGCCTTTGGCAGTAAGCTTGTTTTTTCGGTTTGAAACCATGAGTTCGTTCGTATAAAAGATCCGAAATGACAAGGGTTGAATTTAATGAAAAATGGACATGACTTTTTCAAGTTTTCAAGTTCGTTGCTGGAAGCCTTGCCAAATCCTTAAACTGCTCACTATACACAGAAATGCCACAAGCGATTTTTGGTTCACCTATTTGGTCTGCCCTCACGCAGCGTCCAGTTGCGAACTTTGGCGTTGTTTTTCAAATGACTGAGTATGAGCTTTGCCTTGCTCAGTTGACTTTCCTCTGGAAGTGAGTCCCACTTGAAATACTTCATCGTGGCCTCGACCACAAGTCGAATCTGAAATGACAACAGTGTGCCCCCTCTTAAACCTGTACATGTACTGTGTGTAAGTAGCAAAAGGAAGCAAACAGGGTCTTGCACTCAAATCGAGCCCACACACTGAAAAGAGAGAGAGACACACACACACAAAATGATTTTATAATGGTCGTTTGACGGCGACCCCCAGGTTTGCACTTTTCTGCTGGTTGGTTTCACCAAAAAACTGTTCGGGATCGAATGACCTTCCCCATTAAGAAGAACTAACGAACAATGAGATAAGTACATTACGGTAGTCCCCCAGCATATGTCCACTCCTTCAAAATCTTGGCCAAACGTGTTAGTGCATCGATTTTTTCAGAGTTAACAGCATGCGCTTTCAGGAGGCGAGACCTTAGGGAGCTGCCTGGTGAGCAGGTGAGATGCCGTCTCTCCATGGAATGTACGTAAGCTGATCTGCACATTGCGAAGCTCCTCGTCCGTCACCGATTCGCGAAGAATCTGCCACGCGAAAACCTGCAAAAATTGCTAGAGTTCCAACGAGTGCTGCCGTTCCCCTCGAGCCAAGAAACTGGTTTTTTGTAACATATTTTCTACAAACCTTCAAGTGTGTACCGCACTACTTTCTACTCTATAATCGACTCCCCGTCGTTTTCAATGTTGTTATTCTGTTTCGGTTGTTGCTCCAACCTGCACCCGGTTTTGAAACGCCGGAATTGTTGCATAACAAAAAGTTATGGTAAGAACTGGTTAGGGTGCGCTGGGCGAAGGCGCAAAACATTGTCCATGGTTCCTTCCAACCATTCTCCAAAATGCGTACCAATTGAATCTAAGCATTGTTTTGGCCTATCAAATTTTGCTAACTAATTCTTTGCCGATCGTCGACAATAGTCGGCGAATGTCAACTGCACGGGAGGTAAGAAGGCATAACATCATGGAGGGCCACATACCGGATCGTCCAAAATATTTGGGTAGACTCGGGTAAAAACAGGAATATGGTGTGGGAGAGGTGTCAGCCGGAAACCGAAAACACGGCTAGTAGTCTGTTTGGGTACTCAGTTCTGGCTGACTTTCGTGGTGAACACCGGCGTCATCTCAAAATACAGCTCAGACCAAAAATAAGACCCACGTGCGCTATGGACAAAAAATTCTATACTTTTACATAGCAGGTGCGAGCAGAAGCAGGAAAAGCTGAATTTTAATTTAGTAGCATGCTTGTCCACACAGAGGGCAATCAGGCGGAGGCTCCGTACCGGTTTACGGTCCACTCAGCAGTGTTTGCGTTTCATATGTGCAGCGAGCGTGAGAAATCGGCAAAAAGTCATGGGAACGTCCGAAAACGAGACGAACATCTCCATAATAGTCGTGGGCAACCCTACAGTAGCAATCAGCGGCCGGCATCAGCAGTAAAGAAACAAGCGTGGCTGTCGGCGGCGCCGGCGCTGCGCTCGGTTCGGTGAAGTTTCCCGGTGAGGCGCTATCGTGAGTAGTCACTTGATTCACTGTAGTTCCTATGTTTGCCCTTTTGTTATGGGGGATTGAGGCTACGCCACACGAGTGGAGGCGGTTCAAGAAACGCTTGGACGAGAATTTAGACAGCCGAAAAGTACAGAAACAGTACGGTATCGGCGAGGAACGCTACTCAGGGTGTGCGTCGTCTGATTCGTGTGCGTATCGCAGTCATCGCAGTTAGTTTGTTTGTCATCCTTCTAAATATTCGCCGTACACCAGTTTCGCTCATCGCAAGAGGACTGTTTGTGACTTTTGCTAACCAGTTGTCGCTTGACTGCAAAAACAAGGAAAAAACTTAGGTTACGTCGGTTTTGTATCTTCAAAACAATGCAAAACAAGTAAAACAGTGGCGCATAGAGGTCTACCTGAGAGATGGAAAACTAGGTGAAGGATGAAATGAAGACATGGGTATCCCCGTACAACATTGCAATCTACAAACATTTGTTTAAAAGCTGAATAGGAATACACTTTTGGTATGAAGTTACGACTCTGAAAAGTGGAATGTTTACGGCTGTGTGAGCAGTTTGAGTGGTTGTCTGTTCGCCCGATCCACGGGTACGGAGGACAATCAGTCGTTGGTAAAGTGCATCGACCTCTACCGGAAGGCTGCGAAAAGTCAGGTAGCAACAAATCTTATCGTTTTTTCTTGGGATATTAGAGCTCAAAAAAGTTGCGATAAACCCAAACTGCTAAGACATATGCCTCTAGTTCACCGGTTTCAGAAGAAGGAGATGTCATTATACCAGCTCGCCCCCAAGAAGAAGGTACAGAAACAAGTTTGAAATGGCAGAAACAAATAACGAAAGAATTAACACAAACATAAGAAACAAGAAAAAACAAGAAGTATTACCTTTGGTTGTGTGCTTTGAAAGCTTCTAGCGGCCTTCTCAGCCGCCCTCTTCACTGCTCCTTCCGGGAATGGACCGTCAGAAAATGACGGTTTGGCATCTTGCTAAAATTGGGTAATTTCGATTATAGATAAACTTCGCGAAATTCTACTAGCTGAGTGTAACCTCTCTGGATGCGGCGTTCGATGCTTGATCCTGTTCGCAAAAATCTTCTTCCGCATCATTTTCATTATCACCTTCCATGTCGAGATCCCCGTCTGAATCGTCTTTGCATTCCATCTTAAAATAACGCAGTGAAGTCGATAGATTTTGGTTTTTGAGTGTATAGACCTTTGGTGACGTAGTTTTATCTGAAGTTGAATTGCCCGCCATAGCAGTAAAACTTTGTGGAGAAGCTTCAGAAATGAGAGTTTGAGGTGGAGATGCCAATATACTAGTGAGTCTGGAACAAACTTGGGCTGTCAAAACTCAATTTTTAGTTTGCACTAGATCTACTTGGAAGCAAAAAAAAGAGAGGGATCGGATGAGAGTAATCTGAATGAAAAAACCAGCAAACGACCGAAGGAGTAACCGTACTGCTCACCTTTGGTCTGGCAGTCGCGTAGCGAGTAACTCGAGTACGATGCTAAGCTTCAAGTCGATCTCGTTCAGGCGAATGTTGAGCCTGTTGAGCAGAGTTTTCGAATCGGGATCGAGTATAGCGATGGAGGGCAACTGCGCCATAGTGGGGGGATCGAGTCAGTTTGACGGAAAGGCAGCTGTCGGACTCGCGGTGTGCAGTCGCGACTGCTTGCGCGTGCTATCCTGTCTCCTGCTGGCTCCGCCTACGTCGGGTACTGTACCCGTTCACAACACCCCCCACTACGACGTTGTTTTTTTTTTCAGTATGTGTCCTAGGACTCCAGTCTATGTCTGCTTTTCCTACTGCCAGGAGAACAGGCCAACGATACACGACAGTCTAAACAGCACAAAACCTCGTTGCCTGCTGTCCATTGATGATGAAAAACGATAGTGTGTAGATTACTGTGACAGTGTCTTTCTTGCCATTGTACCTCTCTCACTCTTTTTCACTCAAAGGGCATTGATAAAATAGCTTTAGACTCAATGGCTATCTGTTATGTGCATTGCTTATTTATTTTCCTGACTGCTGATTAGCCCAAGTTATCTTCAGCGGTTCCCAATATTTTCCGTGGTCTTTATTGCAGATTTGACTGAATAAAGACAAAACGCAGGCCAATTATTCAGAATCACTGAAAGTAAAGAAGTCTTTCTGCTCGCGATTTCATGCTAGGTATTTTTGGTTTACGCTGCAACATGTCAAAGTACCTATCACCAGGATGGAACACGCTTCGGCATATAGCTTAATCTATAGTTTCAATAAAATATCTTTATCAGCCTTAGTTTGGTTCCTACTCATCAAATAGAACGTATTCTACCTGCCGCAACAGAGCATTTGCCGTTTGACATGTATATAATAGCCTACATATCATTGTCAAACTAGTAGTTTAGAAACTGTATTACAAACAAACACGTGCAAACAAAGTTCATTTAAACTTTTATTCATGTGATTGATCGTTCGAAAAAGTCACTTTGGGTCCTTCAAAAACCATTGCTGCTACTAAAAAAATAGTTGTTTTAAATTCTCTCAGAAATAAAAAAAAACATTATGAATCTGTGGAAATCTACAGGGATGCTAATAAATCTTTTCGGGATTCAACCTAGGAAACCAGTTGATCGACTTAGTCTGAACGTGTTTTCACTTGTGATCTAACCGAGAGTGATTTGCATAGTGTTTTCAGTGAAATAACAACAGCTACATTATCAACAAAGCGTTCGTTCGCTGCCGCGGCCATGACAGGAATGAAGTCTATGTGACAAACTGTTCGCATTGTTTAGAAATAGCTGCGTTGAGCTCATGAGAACGAAAATCAACGTGATAGTGGTTGCTTGAAAAATCGAATATCAAGTAGTTATAGAATTACTTGGATAATGTTTTTATTTCACGTCAGCTTAACAAGCCAGGATCCATCATGCTTTCATTGGATGCTCTGAAGTGGCATGTCCACCTAGGTAGCCTGAACCCTTGACTCACATATTCAAGAAAAAAAGATTCAATGTGTTCCAGAGAGACATCTAGACCAAATTATATACCGGTCAAGCTGAAAATTCATTATTTCACAAGGTAAATGCAGAAGGAAAAAGATTAATTCGTTTCACTTGTCACTGAATTATGTACAAACAGGTGATACTACTGTAGTTGTCCTGGTTTTTAGTGCAAATACGGTCTTACATAAGCAAAATATGCTTCCTTCTTTGATTTGGTATAGTGAAGCACATACGATTACTGATTCTTAATCCAATCCTAGATATTACAGAGTCTGGAGGTCCAAATCGCTTGATCACAATTTCTTTGAAGATAATGTAACTGGAATAAGCTGAGATATTCTTGGGTGCCCAGTACGAAGTTATCAATTTTGATACTTGATTGCCTGAGAGCGTAGCGGTAAACTGGACTACAGTTTCTATACTTTCTTATAATGAAACCGTATCCGAATCCTCTCACACTAATACACTTTCATATTGTCCGATAGAGAGCACAGATAATTACGATTTCACAATGACGAAATCTAGGGCGTACATTTCACACAAAATTACGGGAAAATGGTTGCTACAATTTTCCACATTTATGCTGGAGTCTTGCACTTTCAAAATGGGAATACTTATTTATGAGGAGCTAGTAGTCGGCTGGATTAATCAGGCATCAAAAGCTCCTTCTTCAATTTGTCAGGGTGGGAATGTCGGACACTGCTTCTGCTATTATCAACAAGTGTTTTCTGAGTCGCTGATCTATGAAGGAGAGGGCGCATCGAAAAAACTTTTTCTATCAAAATTCTCAGAATGAAATATTGGAAAGAAAAGGGGTTGAAGAAGAAAATAGAAAAGCAAACGCTTGACGTGAGAAGAACATGATTTGCGTAACCTTGAACTTATCGCTATTGAAATAACTACAGATGTTCTGCTATCAACGAGACCAATGTCCAGTTTTTTTGGCCTCGAATTATTAGAATTGGTATTTGTGCAGAGCAAAATCTTTAGTACATAGGCCGCCTTAATCGTAACTTTCTCAAACAGAAGAAAATCAAGTCTCTGCCACAACCAATTATTTTACAAAAGGTGTATCAGGCAGGTTTAAAACAATTCCAGCTTGACAAAAATGTAAGTTTTCATAGGTGTAGTAAACGAGTAGATCGGACAAGGCATATCTGTGCTGGCCTATCTGTCATCGCTTTTACCTGGATGTGAGGACAATGTATTCCCACAAGCATGAATCAGTTGAGAGCATGGGTAAGATAACAGTCAAGAAAGTGTTTTCTCATTTGAAGAAATTTCTTCACGCGCAAGTAGAAACAATTTGCAATTAATGAAATACCTTTTTTGACTGCAGGCATCAAAAGCTAGTCATTATCAATATCAGTCATACACAGAACAAAGCAGGATGTGATGAACTATGGTTTTGTACGAAACAATTTTACTGTAACATACCTGCTAATCTTTGTAGCCTTATCGAAAAAAATTAGAAATATCGGAGCAGTTACAGCACCGAGGCGGCCAACTATGTATATCGTTGAGAGAACCCTGACCAATATGAAATCCTTGCTAGTGTGATTAAAAAAAGAGTAGAAAAGATAAGAACACTGAATAAAGGGGTGTGTTTATTTTCAGGAACAAGTGCTTTGCTGCTATAAGGCTGTCTTGATGGGAATTCCGGAAATCGGGGTATAAGCAATAATTTCAGAGTGGATTAGGTAAACTGATGTAGTAACGAGACAGTTTGAATCTTGAGCTTTTATCAAGGATACCGGGGTAAACTAAAGATAATCAAAAACTAAAGCATACATTTGAAAGTAAATGAACAGAAAGGATGGCACTTACAGAACTCTGCCCTATTTTCTCTTTTATGCGTGTTTTGTCTTCGTAAGCGCATCCTGAGGATTTTTAGTGAATTGAAACTACCGAGGAACCCTTTTCTTCTCCGCAACGTCTTCAGGATGTTAGATCTTTGTGTGTATTTTTGTACATATCGTCTAAATGCCCGTGTCAGTCATGTCCGTCATATTTACTAGCTTCCAAACACCTATTATTATTAGCCGAGTCAAGAAACTGGAGGACATCGTCGCACTAAGTATGAACGCGCTAGCAGTTGGTGTTTGTTGAGACACGAGCAGCTCAAATATTGTTGCTTTGCTCACCCCTTATAGATGTTTTCCTCGTCCATGTTATGCCCACACTAATCCTGGTTTATAAACTATTTCCAGAGATGTCTTCATGGGGAATTGTGGACGAATTACAGCAGTAGAAGTCATGAGAGCAATGTTTTTCAGGAGAATACCGCATTGCAAAAATATTAGGTTGGTGCAAAAATAACGAGCGTTTTTCTAAGCTTTGTCAGAACAACTTTTTTCCATCAAACTTTCTTCTTTTAAAAAGACTTAGCGAGCTTTTGAAAAGCCAACCAAAAAAAGCTAACCATTTATCTGGTTGTCTTACGCACACTTTACTATTTTTCTAGAAATTATCTAGATTGAGATATCGGCGCATCACATAGATAATCTATTTGTTCATTCTGTGACCCATAAATTTCATTTAAATGAGGCAATTGCCGAAGCTTTGCTCATTTTTGTAAGCGTAGAGGTAGGCCTCCTATTGTTTTTGCAAAGAAGTTTAGTTGCGCAGTAGGCAGAAAATCGAAGAACTTCATATTCAGAGACTTTATGGCCAGCGCTAAAATGTTGAGAAAGACTAACATTTGTGGATTTTAATTTTTTCTTGCGCAAATCCTTGTTTAAGCTCTTTTTACCTTTATTTGTACTATTGGCTTGCGGCTACAAAATAGACTGCTTATCACTTATGCTAGCAAACTTTAAAGGTAGTTAATGATTTGTCAAAAACGGTGTTTTGAGAAAAAACTTTTTTTTTGTTTTTTTTTTATCAGTCCATATTCTTCTACCCATTTATGATATGGGTATAGGTGGATATGCGCTGTGTTGCGAAGGGTTTGCTGCCTCTGATGGTCTTTGTCTCATTGAAAAAGGAATTTTTAGAAAATTATAGCACGTCAAAATGAGAACTCGCAGGAAGCTCATTATTTTTTGCACCAGCTCAATAAGAATGGTGTCAGTAGTTCACAATGTTATGAGTGTAAATTCTTGCAAGAAAAAATTTATACAACAGGGTCAATTCCTCAATTATGAGAAAGGACATCTTTAACATTAATACTTAATAAAATAGCTGCGATGTCAAAAAATGCAACGAATTTTGAATCTTAGGATTACTTGTAATTTAGTCCAACAACATGGAGAGTTAGAGTAGTTTGCGATTTCACATTTTATGCATGGTTTAGGAACTATCCCAGCTAAAGTTTGGATAAAATACGTTGGGCAAATTTGACGTCATTTTTGACTAGCAACATATTTATCATAGCTTTTTGTTCTTGTGTTATTATATTCCAGCCACTCTCTTACCACCTTAGAACTTCGCTCTCGCCTATTACTTATGGGTTAGACATAGCCAGCAACGAGAACATGAAGAAGTTTTTTTGTGATAAGCACAAGTCTTCCGGAAATTGGGCAAAAAGTGAAAAAGTTTTTGGATATTTGGACCATATTTCAGATACCCACCGCACATCCTCCTAACATAGTTTGGTCTTGGTTCGATCGATACCA